CAATTTAGAATACTGGAAGATATTTTAACATATACTGTGACAAAAAACAACCTAACGATTACTAAGGTAAGTTTAAATCAAGAACAAATTATGGACAAATACAAAAGATGATTGTGGTCAAATATTCTGCTAAGAATCATTTACTCTTCAATCAATAGTTTAATTGTGAAACTTTTATTGTCTTTCTAAACAACTTTCTAGGTAATTCATTACAATGTCATTTTGATCCAAATAAAATGATCTAATCATGACGTAATTTATTGATTTGTAGAACTATAGTTTCCAATGGATATAAAATGATTTAAAATTTATTTAGGATGAATTAATGTTTCTTTTATGTTTTAGTAAATCTATCAAAATGGAAATGTCATAACATAGAATGTGATAACATAAAATATGATAAAATCATATTTCCATTATGACAAATAATAATAAAACGGTTTGAAATGGTGGAGAAGATTTGTAGCTCAGGTGGATGATTTTGATGGAGTTTTGTTCTCTGAGCGGGATGGTTTGGTCGTGGAGCTTTCATCGTTCTTCTGAACGACATCATCAGCACAAACTTCAGTCAGTCAGTCAGCTACAACGTAGGACCAGGCACATATGTGCATCGGTCCAGGTTGCCATACTGCATCAGCACAACAAGATGAACACCGGATTCATAGCAGTGGTTAGGTCAAAGGTGGTAATATATAAGAGAAAGATTGCATGTAGAAATATAGTACAAGAAGAAAGAATTGGTTCGTAAAAAGAAAGATATGAAGTGATTTTAATCTCTTAGTTTAAGGGAAGACAAAGAGTGTATACACCGACGCCATTGTGATCGATTCTGAGCCATGTCACCAAGAGCTTCCAACCATTGGTTACGATAGTCACGCGGACCCCAACCAAGTAGTCTGCATCTACCAATATGGCTCAGACTAGAAGTTAGTGTCTTCAAGCACTGATGCCACGTTTTAGTTTGGCCACCCCTAACTTTCTTCCAACTTCAGATAGAAGTGAAGTGTTCGAATTTCTCTATATGCGTTTCACAGTTTGTTCTGTACACCTCAACGTTGATTGGTTCTTATTGACCTTATATTTGTCATTGTTTACTTCTTTGTTTTGGTTGTGTCTCTCATTGGTTTGATTTTTGTTCCTATATTTGTGCATAATTTTCCTCATTCGTTGATAAATTGGATCGCTTTCAATGTGCTTGTTGATTGCTGATTCACCTGAGTCCCAGGCTTCTAAAAATTCTCTGGTGTTTTTGGAGTTTCCTCTGTCCAAGATTTCCACATTTTTCCAATCGAATGAGTGTCCGCAGTTGTTCAAGTGCATTGATACTTCCTCACTTATATAACAAAATTGTCTAATATGAAGCTATCAGGATCAAAACTATCAGTGCTTCATATTATTCTAACTATGGTATTTAACCGTTCCCATCTTATTCATTGATATGGAAACAATGTAATCTACGACTGTATTTATTACATAAAATGAGTTAGTGAATTTATATTAATTTGATTGGACACATTCTCTTAAAATTATTTTATTAAATAAATTTGAACTTTGTTATAGATATCTGGGTTTAAGTGAGGCCATTCAGCTACTTACACTGTCACAGTCACATAAGATTACCATGAAAGAAAAGAGAAACTATCCCTGTTGTCACTTTGCTTCAGTGTTGAATAGAGCCTGACATTTATTCAATGCAAGTTAAGTATACAGTGCAAATGAAGTCACCCAGTGTTGCAGCAGTAGGCCTCCACAAATACAAGGAAAAAATCAAGTTCCTGAAATACAACACGGAGAACACCAACACAATCACAATTGATGGAGAAGCTCTGGAAGATGTGGAAAAGACCATCAATGAAAAAAAATCTAATGCAGATGTAAAAGCAAGGATTGGCAAACCAAAGACAACATTCCTAAAATTGAGGAACATATGAAACTCAAAATTACTGTCAACAAATATCAACTTAAGGATCTTCAATACGAACGTCAACACAGTTCTATTATACGGGGCTCAAACGTGAAGAACTACCTCAGCCATCATAAAACATGTAGAAATATTTCTAAAGAAGTTTCTACGCAAGAAACGCAATATCCTTTAATCGGATACCATCAGTAACAACCTATTGTGGGAGAGAACAAACCGATTGAAGAGGACATCAAGAAAAGACGTTGGAGGTGGATAGGATTTCATCATCAAATTGCATCACCAGGTAAGAGCCAACTTGGAATCCTAAAGGGAAACGGAAACGTAGAAGACCAAAGAACACACTTTATCGAAAATTGGAAGCAGAAATGAAAAGGGTGAATAGCAAGTGGAAAGATGTTTTAAGGAATGTCCAGGACAGAGTTGGATGGAGAATGCTGGTGGGTGGGTTAACAGGCATAAGTAAGTTACGTATATGCATTCCAGCGTATTGTGTGTTATAGAGAATTGACTTTCATTACTAGAAGATGAGATGAATAATAGATTTTATTTTAAAAAGTAGGTTATTTTACAAAGTGTATATATTTGCTTAACAATGTAAATATACTTTGATAATTTCTATCTACTGGTTATCCATTAGTTGCCTTAATTCAGGTAACATAAAAATCAGGTGTATTTCAACATCGAGTGACTTAAATTATTAATTGTAATAAATCAATACTAAAAAGATTAGATTACATGATATTGAATACTGTTGAGTGATAGAATAAATAAATTCCTCTCTTAGACATTTGACTTAATGAATGAATTCTCAAGATGTGAATTAAATATCTGTACACAGAAAGATACTTGAACGTCACTTGAATTACTTTGAAAATCTGAATAAACGACTGTTTTCAACAAAATATCTGTAGTTTATTTCTAGTTGATTGATCACGGGTTGTTGATCGATGTCATTTATGTCAGGTCCTTCCTAGTGCAGATCGAATCCTATCGATCGAGTTGCAGTGTTGCCACCAGGCCAGGTAACTCGACATTGCGTGCACTATGTTGAGATAGAATGTTGGTTGGAGGTAGTGAACAGGAAACCCTGGACCTAGGTTTCGTGCTACTTGGCGTTCGTCAGCAAGGCGTACCTTTAATCTTGAGGGAACTGATGCTCCCTGACGGACTCGGTCCCATGTCGCCGAGCTTCGCGGTCAGAGACGTTATCACTGAACTATCCGAGCCACGACTGACCTCCTGTATAACTGAGATGTATTTACAATTGATTGATAAGTGGGTGTTGATCAATGTTATGTATGTCAGGTATTTCTCGTTGTTTATCAAATAATGAACAAATTATTACCTTATAATCCACAACAAAATAAGCATTTTTAATTTTTGAAAAAACTAGTCAAATAATTTAACTTATAAAGTTATAACTTACTTAGAATTACTTAAACTTTCATAGACGCTTAAAGTTGTGAAAACATGTGACAGCTCTATCATTTACGATTACTCTAATAGCAGTTTTGTTAATTATAGTATTAAGAATGTTAGATATTAGTTAGATAAGGAATTAAATACACATGTTTTATCCTATTCAAAACTTATCTATTGGATATTTCAATATCGCAACATCACTGGAATGGTTGAATATATAACTGTCATGTTGCGATTAGAACGAAACCGACATCCTGGAATATGCTTCCAATCAACATCAAACTTCACTAAAACTTATGACTATATAACAACATCTAGGTAATACACTTAGAATACACATATATCAAAATAAACTAATCAATTACAGTACTTAACATCAACAAAGCTAATATATAAATCTTTTTAAATAGTTATTATCATATCCATTATATATTTAAAAAACATTATTAGATTTCCTATGAACTATAATTTGGACATACATAACTCTAATAAATTTAATACATTTTCTTTGAATAACTGGCAGAGTGTACTTCTTATTCAAGTGTTCATTAGTAACATCATGAGGAATCATGATTCGTTTTTATTTGATAATTGAAATAATTCTACTGATATTAGAATCCTCTCTCCAACAGAAATAACAACACTCTTTTAACTTTGTTATTGATGTATGAAAATTTCATTATGCTTGTGGATAAATTATTTGCCTTAATTGGAATGTTTATTTTTTAAAACTACATTTAAATATGCTAAAATAACTTTTTGATTTCAATTGGATTATGTAATATTATTGATTGAGTTAAACTATTGAACACTGAATAGGTTAGTATAATTTACTTAATAATTAGACAGAAGCAAAATGTTCATGGTAGATTAACATCTCAGCTCAAAATCACTTAGTTGTGAATTTAAAAACAATAAAGATGTGTACAGTAAAGTGATACATATTAATAGAACTACATGTAAATACTGTTGAACATAATTATAGATTCAGAGTGTTGTAGGCATACTTTTTGAATCTATGAATATTTGATTATTATTGAAATCGCTAAGCTAGACCACCATAGAAGACGTGGAAGCACTGGACAGCCGTTTTTATCCTAGTATGGAACTTCTCAACAATGCGCATCCACAATTCCGCTCGCAGGGATTCGAACCCATAACATAAATTTCTTTATGAGTACAATAATAATGAATAAATTTGAATAGTGTATTTAAAATACTATGCCTAATCAATAATGTAGCCTGACATAAATACGTCATATCATAAAGTGATTTTGCATAGATCATATAATTTGAAAGAGATTTTCATCATCAATCGGATAACTACTAAAAAGTTGAAGACAATTGTCTTGTTTTTTCGTAATTAAAAACTCTTTTGTAATGAACACTCATCAGCTTACATGCAATCGAATCAACAATTCATGTATCATATATTGATTTAACATGATCCTTATTCATTGACTCCAAGATATATGATCCGTGAAGAAATGCGAAATCCTTGAATACTATAGGATTGTAGTTGTTCACTGTTGCGGATATTTTAAAGTAATTTTGAAATAGCCGTCCAGTGTTACTTTTTACAAAAATTACATTTATATAGTATATTTAATATTTTTCATGGTAAAATCAAAGCACTTAAATGAATAAAACTTACCTAAATAAATATGGCTGTTTTCGTATATGTTCATTAAGAGGTAAACCGATTAAGTGTGAATTGTCTAATGTTAAAGTCATCCAACTAGAATCATCAAGAATGAGTCCATCTATTTTTAAATTTATGTAAAAAAAATATTTTTTTAGGAATTGAATTAAGTTATCTAATCATACTTTGAGGAATGTATATCAGTGAATTCACTTGGAAGTATTACTGTAGTTAAATAGGTGAGATGTGAAGTGTTTAAAACCTTACACTTTTAACTATTCGTCACGATTATAAAATTGTCTTTGCCTTACGATTATGTCATCATTAATTGTTGTTGATTGTTTTCGTTATTAAACGAAAGTATATATTATGCACGTAATAAGTCACCCGTCCTCGTTTTATCTTATTTTTTTGTACTTCATTTTTGTACAGACACAGTGCATTACATGCTACTTCCAGAACATTACGGACTTCCAGGCTAAACAAAGGCTTACCAAAAACTGAGAGTTACAAAGGAATGATTCGTTGAGATGGTGGAAATGATTTGTAGCTCAGATGTATAATTTTGGTGGAGTTTCTTTCTCTGAAATGGGTAGTTTAGTTGTGAAGCTTTCACTGTTATTCCGAATAATATCATTAACACAAACTTCAGATAGAAGTGAAGCATCCGAATTTCTCAACATATGACTAAGGGATTGTCATGTCAACCTCAATCTCGATTAGTTATGGTTGACCGTTACTTTTTGAAATTAGATGATTTTCAATTAGCCATCAAAACATTCTGTAACCTGATGTTTCATGGTAGGATTAAAATTAGTGACGCTTGGGTATTTTAAAAAGCTAACGATCCAGAAAAAGTCGGATCCAAACGAAAGTAAAGTTTACAATTTTAGTAGTATGGGGTTGTGGAGATTGTTCAGTTTTTGATTGAGATAATGAATCGGTTGGTAATAGATCACCATTCAAGATCTGGAGGCATTAGACAGCCGTTTTCGTCTTAGTATGGGACTCCTCAAAAGTGCGCATCCGCGAACTCTCTCACCGGATCGAGCGTTGAACCCAGGGCTTTTGGTCTAGCGCTCGAACGTCCAACCTTCGGACTACTGAGCTGGCATTCAAAGGTCATGAGTTCGAATGCCGCGAAACGGATTGTAGACGTGCACTGCTCAGGAGTCCCATACTACGACGAAACAGCCGTCCAGTGCTTCCAGGTTTTTCGTGATGGTTTAACTTTAATCGACTCAACTATTAAATTACTACTATCTTCACAAAACTCCCTTTCTGATAATTACAAAATTTCTCAGCTATTTTAATGGATAGAATAAAACAGGTGGCCTAAAGGGATTTATGTTTTTTCAATGTGTCAATGCTTCAAATTTGATGTATCTTTCAGTGAAGGGAATCTTCAAATTATGCATAGTTATACAAACTATTTATATCATTAAATGGTTCTGTCTTCAGTGATGAGTGAAGTGGGGTTAGATTTTGAAGTGTTTGAAGGGAAATCTTAACGTGTGAAATCAACTATATCGATACTAAATGGAGTAGAATGTGAGCTGTTGGGTCTTAACTCAGTGATATTAGGTAAGCACGAATATATCCATCATTTTTAAAAGTAAGAACTGCTATCAACAATGGCTTAACTAGACGTTTTAAAAATAAACGAACGTTAGTTTTTTTTAAAATCTATTGTTTTCTTACCATCTTTTGCTAATTTTGAGTCTCTGTTTTAACCACGGAAATTCCTTACACTAAGTATTATTCATATATATTTCGGTTAAAAGCATCATTATTCTAATGGTTTTACGCTCCAATTTATTATGCTAATTTTGCTCTACGTAGAATGATATTCAAAACGTATTTATTCATAGTTACAGCATGTCTCAATCGGTTTTACTTGATTTATCTAATTCACCTCAGATAGATATCTTTCAAACAACCGAACATTAGTAATAGAATAAGAAGTTTTAATAACTAATTCATCAGAAATCAAAGATACGATCAACATCCATTACATTATACCATTTTTACATGCATCTTATCAAGTCACTTAATCCAAACACTTTCTTTAACTTTATTCTTCTTATGAATATATATCATTTCATCTAGACAAATAACATGTTTATCTTTGACTTATTCATAAATAAATCGAAAGATATCGGTAAAAAAATAATAAACAACCACTTTCTCCGACTTACATGCATCTCTTAATTCCATAAATTGAATTCTTTTAGATGGAGTAACATTATCTGGATTAATAGATTTTTTGAATCGTAAACCTGATATAAGAAAAAGAAACAAAATCATATAAAAGAATCTAGTCCATTGAATGAATTACTGTTACAAAGGGGAAGAACTTAACATGATACTAAAACAATGTCTATTTAACATCTTATATATATATATATATTATATATTAGTAAATAATAAGTTATGTATAAATTAATAATGTTTGCTTCATAGATTTATTAATGTATTTAACAAATCCTTATACCATGCATTAAATTATCATTATTATTATTACTAATAATAATAGTTTTTAATCTGAGTTCCCTTAAGTAAATCTTACTTCTGACCATGAATAATTAATCAATTGAGTAAATGTTAATTTAGAGAAAATGTATATTAGATTACTTAAGGAAAAAAGGTATAGTACTGTTTACTATAATAGGAGTTAATGTTTATCTAACAATGATAATAATAACAATAATAATGATAATAGAAGAAGAATAGTGATGAATAAAAACAAATAATTTACTCATTGATTATCAAAATGAGACAGTATCTAACTAAACGGTCATTATAATGTAAATTATTCATTACAAGTTAACATTTTAACTATATTACTCACAATCAACTGAATCACGTTTGATTACCATTGATCAAGTAATGAAGTTTAATTTATGAAAGATACAGAATGATGGATCACAGTTATAGAAACAATTTTTTAAAACAATATCATTGTCAAGCTTAGACTCTAGTATGATGTTTATCAATTGAGATAAATTAATAAACATTTAATTTCTAATCCTGTCTGGATACCCCGAAATTCAGCATTTTTCAACCAAACCCTATATATATATGGGAAATTTCGTCCTAATTTGATAGTATTTGGGCACCGAGTTTATATGAGACACTAAAGATGAAGAATGTATTTATAAAATCTCAGCGAATGAATTTGAAATTTTACAAATACATTCTTCATTTTCAATGTCTCAATATATATAATTTAAAGAAAACACTTTCTACTGATGAAGCGAATCATTCTATTTATCAACGTTTATTTTTGTAAATTTATAAAGCTTATTTCAATGGTACAGAAAAGTGACTGGGGTTAAATCGTGAATAATTCTTTATAGTTTTCTATTGATTTTATAATAAATTCATTTAATGATTATTCTTTTCTTAGTATAAATTGCAAATGATCATCGTTATTATTGTTCATCAATGTTGTTGGGTTATTGAACGGAACATGTTGATTTTGAAACAGTTTCTATTTTTTAACTTATTAAAACACAATTCGATTATGTGGTTATGATGTACGTAGTTTTAAATAGATTTTACTTGTAGAGTAATGTTCAAAAAAAGAATGCATAAAAATACTTTGCACTATGTGATCATTCTCTGCAACATGATATGAAAAGAAAGTCAATGTATTTCGAATGGTTATCAAAATGAACAGGAAGTGTTTTTTTCCATTGAGATCATGAATCAATCAATGTTAGATCAGCGTTTAATATCTAGAAGCACTGGACTGCCGTTTCGCCCTCGTATGATACTTCTTAAGAGTATGCATCCACGATTCAGCAAGCGAGAATCGGGACCAAGAACTTCGGTTTTGCGCACGAACGCCTAATCTCTAGATCATTAACCTGGTATCCAACGTGTTTTTGTTTGACTTCAACCAATCCAAAAATATAACAGTCAAAAGAGTAATAAGATGTAATCGAAAAAGATCAGATTCATTCGTACAGTTGTGAGTGATTCCAATTCGTCATATTTTTGATTTTTAATCACGAATTTTCTAATATACTTCAGGTAAATGAAAGAAATATATTAACATCTAAAAACCTTATAAATTATTGATATATTTACTACTAATCACTATTAATTTTATTCTTAGACCATTCTATTCCACCCATTCACTTCAGAAGGTAGTAAACACGTATTGTGCATTAATAACATATTCTACATTCAACTTAATATATGGGTACATCATTTTGTTACATAAAATGGTTATATTTAATGATTAGTCTTTATTTCTCTAGATAAGTTATTCGTTGGGAATGAGTTAACATATCAGACTTTGGTGATAAGTCATCACCTGGATACAATAATTATATTCAGTCAAGTGGCTGATCACAGTCTACACAACCTATACGATTTTTCCTAACAACGTGTATTAAACTTCGGCATAATTCATTAAATGATTATATCGGAATTCTATATATACCAGAGTATTTCTAATATCGGATATAGTTGTTTCTCAAATTTGGCAGTAGAAGAGAATGGACTTCTGCATGACAGTAGAAAATGCGGATGGCATCTTAAATAATGTCACTTTGTAAACACCAAAAGAGACGTTGATAACCGTGCTGATATTTTGTAGTCAGTTAGCTAGTCGTTGAAGGAATGAATTCATCAAATGCTCGATGGTTAAAATATTCAGTAATTTTACAATGCTTGAAATGAGGCATTGTCTCACACCTGGGATTCATTAAGTGCTTGATGATTGTCCGGAAATCTTTTTTTATAATATTTAATAGACCTTTCATTTTAAAGGACTTGTTGAATGGTTTCATATCGTCTAAATGCACTTGATCGGTAACCAATAAACATGTTAAACAGAATAACCTTAATAACAAAGTTGAAAGAGTAAAACAATAGCAAACACCCTATGTACAAACACGTGAGTAGGAATGTAGAGCGTTTAGTTATAAAATATATAAACCGAATATTTTCTGCAAAAATAAACATCTCCACAACTGTTATTGACAGAAAAGCCGAATTTCTAACTAAAAATCCTCAAACGTATAGAATCTCAGTTTGTATATTACTGTTCCAGGCTTATTTTAGTTATAAGGTGAATAACTTAAGATATTATACTAGACATACTTATTTAGTATGATTATCACTCTACTTATTTTTTCCAACTAATATAGTCAACAAAAGAAATGAATAATCTAGATAATTTAAAAATGTTAAGCATTCAATATCCAATATATGGTACATCCTACCTAAATCTTCTTATCAGAAAGATATGTATTGTTTACTCAATGCTCTAAGTAAAATGTTACATACAATCGATAATCCTTAAAACAGACTTATATTCATAGTATTAAACAGGTAGTTTATTAATGTAATTAGAAATTAATCATTTTAGTCTCACTTAAATATGCTACCCTTGTTATAATGGTTACTGTTCACCATAATATCCATTATATATTTATTGTGTTGCACGCATATAAAGACAGAAGTTCATTGCTAAATAGATTTTCTTTTTCATCAAATACCTTCAATATTTATTTTATAATTTGCCCACAACAACAAAAAAAACAAACTTCATACCTGTCTACTAACAACTTTAACTCTTGTATAAATGTTAACGGCAAATTTAAAACAAGAAAAAAATTAATAATAAACAAAACAAACAAAAAGAAGAAATTAACTATTACTATGCGTGACTATAAAATTGAACAAAATGATATTCAATTTATGGTAAACATGTTTAGTTACAAATCATTGCAGTTCAGTGAATAAAAACAATGAAAGGAATATTTAAAGAATGAATGAATCGATTCTATTTTCTTATTTCCAGTACAAACATCATCCATTGATTGTGTATAGTTACTTACAAAGTGTTGAGCTGTATATATATACATAACTATAGCATATGTGTCTAAAGCATATTTCCTATGGGAATTCTATATGGTCTTTATCTTTTTTTTTACGCTTTAGTTACTTTTTTATTTATTTATTAAATCAATCAGTTTTGTACTAAATCTTCACTATATTAAAAATCAAATCAGGAAACGGAAATTACTTTTAGTGTGGTCGGTTATTTTGTTTATTTATGACTTTGAAACAGAATACAGGAAATAGTCTAAAGGAAATTTATCTGACCGATCATAAATTATTACTGTTATTTGACGAGAAAAAAAGGTAAATCAAACTAGGAAACCAAAAATAAAATGTAACAATTTCTACGGTTTGATTAACTTATATCCAGTCCTCATTTTTGTTGTGTCAGATGCATAGATACTATTTATTATATGCTTTTAGTTAATGCTTTGTCTTGAGTATCGATATATATATCGAAAAGATATATTTCCTGCATTTAGCTGATATATTAGTTAGTTAAATTGTTCAAGTTATTTTTTTTCGGTTAAATTTTAATTTCATGTTCGCTGTCGTTGCCATGGTGACAAATCTATCTAAAGAAATGTATATTAATGAATGGTATTGATATTGAAAAAAAATTGGCTAGAACGAAAAATTTTCTTAAATGAAATTCAATTCATTATATCATGGAGCTACAAATGATAACTAAATCCATTACATATGATGAGGCTTCGTAATCAACACATGAATTAATTAGCATTGAATACCGGGATTGTAATACAAGTAGTATAGTTTTAAATTAGCTCTCATGAATATTGTTATTGTAGTTTAATGACGTCAAATTAACATGGTAAATAAACAGATGATATTTCATTTAGAATTATGTGCTATTGTTCAGTAAATAAGTTCATGCTGTTTGTCATTCCAAAGATATTATATCATGTATATTGTATTAGAGTCTTTCTATCCCAACATCACCTACTTTATAATTTCAGAATAATTAGTGAAACTTGCCATTTATTTAAAGCCTTTTTTATTTATTTGGTCGGTGGAAGTTTGTTTACTTCTCAAATACACTTCAAGATGAACTGACTTCCGTTAGATAACTACAGAATACCAGATAAGTAGTAATGGCTATTCAAGTCCATTTTGAAACTTCATAGTGATAAATCTCTAGCCTTAAGTAGGATCAGAACTGAAAGCTCGAATTTGCTATTGTATACATTAAACCACCAAGCTAATGTGCTATAAGTAAATCAACCATATTTTTAGCTACCTTATAAGAGAAATACCATGACAGTCAATCAATGACATTTGTGATCAACTGTCTAAATCCCAATTTGGTTAGTTCAATAGGATTATAGATTTTCACCAAAATCTTCGGAAATTCGTTTCAGAGCTAGTTGCTATTTAGTACACGTCTATTATTCAGTAACATTTCATTTAATAAAAAACGTTGTACGTTTAGATGTTTGCTTATTAGAATTGGGATTACATATGGTTAGAAAGTTTTAAAAAAAGTATCCTGAATACTTTGTACTGAATAAATTTTCTCAAAAAGAGTACAGTTATTAACTGAATACATTAGAAATGTATCTATAAACTGTCAAAAATTATTACTAAATCAGTTGACGAGTAATTAACAATGAACTCAGCGATATCATGATTCCAACTAATCTCATGATAATCAAACCATCTTATGAATACATTTGCTATTTGAGTTGAAGTTTTGATAACTGAAATTACAACATTGTTATTAGTTTTCAACTAGTATTTATTCTACACTTGTTATTATGTTCATAAATATAACTTTACGAAGGTATATATATTGGATTATCTATTCGACCTTTCTTTAAATAGGAAACATCATTTTGACTTATGTATTTGATGTGTCTATTAGTTATTCAAACTAATGTATGTATATATTTCTGTTTACCAATGTTTGATTTTTCAGTCTTAAATTACAGATGATTGTTAATAAAACTTGAGTCTAAATAAACAGTATCAGAAATGAGACATGAAATTTTAATGTTCTTATGAGAAACATCAGTTTCTTTAGGATTGCAGATCTATCAACTAATACTAGTTAGCATAGAATCACTGTACATCGTTTCTCGCTGTTTGTCTTGAGACAGCTAACATTGTAATCATGAGATCAAATATACGAAACTGTAATTACACTTCAGATGAGACTTTTTGGTTAGACTATAATTTATGGACGGCTTTTGAGTGACGCTTAAGTGACCTTGAGATTGTACACCTAATAACTAGGATTAAAAGAGGGTTATAAACCAGTGTGAGGAGTGGGAATTATGAATTACAGTTGCTGGTTGAGGTTAGGAATTAGATTTAGAGTTTTCATCGAAAACTGACATCAGTTATAATGCCGAATGGATGAGTGAATCTCGCGCGAAAATCCGAAACCTCTTATCTTATATCTGTTTGATTCGTCCATAAATTATAGTCCCTTCGACCATTTTCTATCTTTTATTTTATGATGTATACTTTGAGAGCAAAAGACTGAACATATTGTAATACAAATTAGATTCATAATTTAATTATGTAAACGTTATTTAAGATAGGAAAATCTACTTGTTTTATGGTACTTTTAATATGTAATTTCCCGAATAATTCACACCAATTATTAGAAATGATAACTATATATGTAGGAAATTTCTTAAAACGGCAAACTAAATTTAGAAAACTCATCTTATTTACTTAGCACTTAAGAAACACTAAATTAGTAGTACAAACCTGGTAAATTACTAATCCATTAACTAATTGGAATTGAGAACAATAAAAGTGTAACTAAAACGAAATAAGGTAGTTTGAGTTTATGAAAAAGTAGTATCTAGATTTATTTTACATTTCAGTCCAAAAAAAATTTCAAAGATTATTTGTATCTAAGCATAAAATTCTAAAAAATCTATTCATTTACCTTACATTTGTACAATCGACGCGATAGTATCCAATCTCATTACTTCACTTACTCAAAATATAAACAGTTTATTCTCTAACTTACGTAACGTCAGATAATCTAGTCTTTCTACTCATTGGGATATTACAAATAGATTCATTTATTTATAGTTTATTTCAGCATAATTCACTTTATTCATTAATTTATGTTTTGGTTAAGAATATTTATTACTAAGATGATTTATATCTAATAGACTGAAATATTTTGTAAACGTTTTAGAATCACATAAGAAAATTGTAGTTAATTTGCATATTTAAATTTACATTCTTCTTTTTAAATGTTGTATATGTATCTGATGAGAAATACTGTATTCAATAGTTTGTTTGTATTATTTCAGATTTATTATAAGAATTGTAATTTATTAAATGTTCACTTTGTGGATTGGTTAAAGTTATACATGAACACCGCTGGATGCTCTTAGTGGTCTAGAGGATAAGCTCCCAAGAGGTGAGACTGATAGGTCCTGTGTTCGAATCTCGTGAGGTACGATAGTAGATGTACACTGCTGAGGAGTCCCATACTACAACAAAACGGCCTTCCAGTGCTTCCAGGTTTTTCATGGTGGTCTAGCTTTAATCAACTCATGAATTCAACCATTGAATGTTCACAGTTAGATGTATGGTATGTACTTTATTGATTGGATAAAACGTTTTCAAAATATTCTATGATTATGTTATGTTATCAAGGTTTGAAAATTTGGCAGATTATATATATTTAAAATACCACATTGGGTTAAATAAAAATTAAAGTAAAGTAAAAAACACATCCGAAATTCAATTTTCTCCTCGTTAGAATATTACAAATTTCATTATTATTATTATTGTTACTATTATATTATGTAATTAGTTTAAAACTAATGAAAACAGCGGTTTATTTCAATAATATCACTTTTTGTAATAAAACTTAATGTATGTGTATTCAAATTCAAGCATAAATTAGCTTTGAGTGAATAACTTTCAAATCTAGTTTATTCAGTAGATTAAATTGAAATTTCTAACCCTTGATTTCGAATCAAATAACTGTGTTTATTTTATTCAATGAGACTACTATAAAACAGGGAAAATGATGGATAATGTCTAAAAGTTTTAATCATTAATCATTAGTAAATTTAATTATTTAGAATATTGGATTAAGTAAAGACTGGGGATGATATATAGAATAATAAATTCTAAAATAGTATCTCATCAGTCCTAGGAATGATTACAATGAAGGTAGAAGCGTTATTGCTATTTGATATGTTTGATTACAAAGCTAACAATCCCAAACTCCGACTTTAATGATACTGAACAATACTGCTTTTTATCCACTAACTGGAGACATAAGTCAAGTTACATATAGAAAATTTGCTTCACCATCAAGAAGAAAAACTGCATAGCACACTATTCTCGTGTCTAAATATGCTTGTAATTTTCTTGAGGATAAAATAACAAGAAAAAACAGAACTAAAACATACGTTTATCAACAATGTAAAACCAAATTTCTAAGAAGGGAAAACAACAGTCTAGAAACAGAAAATGTTTTCTCAGAAAAATACTAAATTCAAGTTTATTTAAAGTAGATTACATAAATGTGGATTTTGCAAGTTATTTTGTTCATCTAACATGTTAACCATGAAAAACTATCTATCGTGAGACATTAAACTTTAATAATACGTTTTTGAGTTTGGTCATTGTTCAACTTAACATGTTTGTCAATAGATTTTAGAAAGTTTATTTGGACAGTAATGGCAATGAACGGGAAAATTAATAATTGATATTTTCTGTGAGCTCATGATCTTGTAAAGAAGTTTACAAAAAACACACACACGCGAAATTGTATACTCACCCGCAATAACGGTGAAGTTAGGTATCACATTTGGCATAAACTGAACATTCGCTGTAAACACAATGAACAAATACAAGATTTGTGTATAAATAATATGTTCTGAAGGATAGTTAAAATATCATAAACTAGATTTATTCTAAACGAAAATATTGATTATCTACATTATACTACCATTTCTTCAGATGATGTTTCGAGCTTTGATCTGATCTCATTGTAATTTTGTTCTTACTTCAGTGCTACTTTTCTGTACATACTCATGACATTGTCAAGTACCGAAAACACGACTTCGAGGTTTTGTGGTGAATACGATTAATTTGGATCACAGAGTTGGGTTTGAATGGCTTACATTTTTAATTTAATCCGATTCGTGATTCGAAATGATCATCATCCAATATCATCATGAATAACTACATCGCTCTTTACCCTGTCGATTAGATATCTCAAGTCTTCTTATTAAAACATGACATTCATTCGTGAAAACATTTCCAATAAATGTGTTGTATGTAAATATCAGTCCATTTTTGACAAATGTTCCATTTTTGTCAATCTAGCTATCTATCATTTCGTGAATTTTATACTTTACATTAGCATATACATTTTGTAAGCTATAATGGTCAATGAAGAAGGTGATTTTATAGTAAATGTGTTATCAATGATATAGTTACAGTGTAATTAGGCATGAAATGAATTCCACAATAATTGTAAAGTATTTTGATGCTTTAATTGAAATAAAAATGGAATTATTAGTTTGCTTTTTTCTAAAATGTATAGACATAAATCAGAATCAAACGATCCATGAACACAAATTATTATGCTTAATTTAAATGACGCCATCAATTGTCGTCAGAAAGCAAATGGAATACAAAACATTTTGGCTAAATAAAAATTATTTATTATTTTGAATGAAAATTTATTTCATTGTCAGTTCTTACATACTCAAGAAATGAAACTACGTCAAAATAGTTTAAAGTTATGAATATTCTCTAGTTTTCTAGGTTTTACACATTATAAAACCATTTCTTAATGCGAAAAAAGAATCAACCCAACTATAAGTTGATAAGTTGCACAACTCGACTGAATGTGTAGCTCCAAAGTTGTGTTTTTCAGAAAAAAGTAGGCTCAAGTACAAATTACTTGTTTATTCTAAGTGAAACACATTTTTGTTTTTAATTTTTCATTGATTGAAGCGATTGGTGGAAAACTCACTCTATAATTTCATATTTATGATAGTGGTAACAATAAGTAATAAAAATTCATTTGATGTTGTTTTACTTGTATATTTCCATTGTTATTTAGAACTGCAATTGATCATTCTCGTGTTGGCATATGGGCATCTTGTGCAGATTGCCTCGGTATAATCTTAAGTCACAAGCTTTTAAGCGAAGATGAATATTAACTATCAGTATAATCCAGGACGCGTGTTTCATCCTATTTGGAACTCGTCAGCTGGACGTACCTGCATCCCAGAGTTGTTGTTCACTTCAGGATTTGAACACAGTACCATTAACTCTAAACGCCATCGCGTTGTCCACTTAGATACTAAGTCCGTTGTTATGCCAAGAAGAGAACGATCAATTTTAGTCGTTAATAATAATGGAAAGATACAAGTAAAACAACATCTAGTGAATTTAAACTTTACCCCATCGCACAAGCAGGTGACTATCAGGATTCAGTAGCTAAGTGGATAACGCGATGACGTTTGAAGCGAATAGTACTGGGTTCGAATGTCAGAGTGAACATCAAATCTGGGATGCAGGCACATTCAGCTGACGAGTCACAAATAAGACGAAATGCACATCCTGTATTCCACTACTAATCACCATCCATCTTTACTTCATAAGTAGTAGTTCGATTTATTTTTTTAAACGAAAAATAGTTTATTATTTACTATAACTATTTAATGAAATATTTCAATAAAACAGGAAGACTTAATAAAGAAGATTAAAATAAATATCATTTTCATTGATAGAAATTTAAATGAACAGTTAATCGCATATTGAAAAAGAAATGTAGTGACCTTAGAAAATTAGATGAATGACCTTATATTCTACTTCTTTCTATTTGTTCATTTATTTGTTTATTATTATTATTATTGCTCCGTGTTGTTCTTTCTTTATCGTCGTCATCGTATCTTTTTTTATCTTTGAACAAAAATGTTTTCCTCTTTTTATTCTTTTAAATTTCTAGATGATTCACTTTCTTTTATGTTGTCCACTTTTCCTATTTTAATTTGTTCAGTGAAATAGTAAAATAAAGGTGAGTGAATGGAATATACATATAAGGATGATAGAGAGATTGTAATAAATACGAATGAGAAAATAAAAATGGTTTAACACCTTATAGTTTTAACTGGTTGTTTTTTTCGTTATGAATTTCATTTTAATTATTTATTTCTATGCTCTGGTTACTTTATCATTTTGTTGTTATATTGCGACAGAAAAGTTTTAAGAAAGAAAAACATTCATGAGATAGATGTGAAGAAAATCATGAATATTAAGATTTAACCATCTCTTTTCACAAATGATTAGCGATGAATACAAAAATAATTATAGCAAACATCTATGCATAGTCGGTAGAATTCTGAATACTTCAAAGGAATTGATCGAAAGGAGTTCAAAGTAATTTACATATTACTTAAGCATTTTGTTTAATGGTGATGATGTCATGAAGATAAATGAAACGTCAAGAGAAGAATAGCAGTGGACATATTATGTAAGATGCTGGAAAGTAGGTAGATCGGTCTATTTCGCTGTTGATAGTATTTCTGTTATCGTAGATTTAATTAATTATTCAATTAATTTGATTGCGAATGATTGTTTTTGTTTAGCTAGAAGTTTGTCAAGTAATATAATAGTTAAAAACAATAAAAGTCATTGGTAGTAAAAATATTGAATTGAGACGTTTTCCTTGTGCTTTCAGAGGCTAATGAGTAGGTATTTTTCTTACATACTAGAGAATCTTATGTATGTGTCTTTGTTATTTATGTTTTTTATGGCCTAAGATTGGAATACTTTAGCATGAAAACATGTAAGTATGGTACTAAGGTAGACAACGTTTTTTCCGAAACCACTATCAATAATTACAGCGGTCAGTGGAGCGGACTGTTTTTATCAATTGGGAAATTACTTCAGACATTGAACTCAATGAGAACTCAAAAGACGTTCAGATGTTACACAGCTAAAAAAATAGTTGGAGTATTTGGTTTTGGAAATAAAGAACTATGGAGCATCTCAGTTCACTCTTTATTATTCAATGATTATGTGGAATATTTTATTTTCTACCAAAAGTTTGTCTAAGTGCCAAGAATAGGGAAGGAGTGTAAGGTGTTTAAAATATAAATTTTAGTCAAATAATTTGCAAAACTAAACTCTTGATTAGGATATATAATTGAAAAAATCCCAACATGACTGAATTACCTGGCATATACAAATGACTGTCTGACCATCTACTTAAATTTGTCCCAATTTCATTTGATCGTTGAGAAGCTGAATATGCTTGTTCTTCTAATTGTTTGGTTATTTTTTTAGCTAGAAAACAAGCTGAATTTTCTAAATTTAACAACTTTACAGACTCTAATATGAAGGGAATAAATAAATTTTTATTATTTTGTAGAGTAATTTCAGCTTTATCCAAATTAGATAATTGACAATCGGTTAATAATTTAGAAAGTTTCGGTATATTATTTGGTTGTACATAAAGGTTTATTGGTTGATTAACGTTATGTAGATTTGTGTTTTGCATCATTTGAAATGAATGAATGTTAGTTATAGCAGAATCATTAGATAAAAGAAATATTTCTTCACCGTCATTTGGTAAACCCAATGGTAGAAATATCCAATCCAATTCAAACGATGCTATATCAGATTCATTTTGTGGAATTCTAAATTGTATGATCTAATAAAATACAAAATATAGATTAATAGATAAAATAAATGAATGCTTCTGTTTTTATTTACTTTGCTAATACATAATGAAAATAAAAGTGGAGTAATTAAAGAAATTACACTATTCGATATCAGTTCACTAGTCAAAGCACTTGCCCTAGGAACCTGGACCTTCGCTCTCGCTTGTGAAAGCTCAACCTCCAGACCACTGAGCCAACATCCAACAATAAGCATGACTCTAATTCACGATATTTCCAACCCTCATACAGTACCTACGGTAGATAACTGTTTCACACGCGACGCGGTTGAACTTTATTAATCAAGATTTCAACACTGAAATAAAATGCGTAATGCTAAGTTCATTGATGCAGTCAATGAATAGGTAACAAAATAAGACGGTTGGTTTTCTTTAATGGCATCAGTTTACTTACAAGCTTCAATGTCTTACAATGCTTTATGAACTTTTTATTATAAATCTGTTTACGCAAATATGAGTTATTACACCAGATAAAGTTCCAAAACTTCATCACTATTTACTTTTTTTGCTGTTTTTACTTCCAACATGAAGTTTTATTATTGTCTGAACTAGAAAAACAACAGTAATATGATAGTGCATGAGAACGGTCACTCATGCTACGTTGATACAAGTGTATGTATAATTTGATAAGACCATTCCTTTTAATATCACGTTAACGCAGTGTTTAATCATCAGTGCTGTTGATTTAAATTGGTTCATTGACCATCACAAGAGGAATGTTCAGTAACTTCGATTAAGTGCATGAAGTTTAAAATGATAATTCGCAGGCGGTTTTAATTGATATCTGACATCGGTTGACATAACACTGAAAACCAGAAAACTCACTCTATTTTAGGTAGAGCTATTTTTCCGTTCCCGTGGTTAAAAATGTACCATAACGAAACAGCTATCCAGTAGATCATGATTTTCAGTGATATTTCAACGGATGTGAATTAATAACTAAGATCCCTCAAAAGCTTTCAGCAATGATCATATAAATGTTCATACTCTCAGATATTTTACCTAAGTGAATAAACACCAAGCTGAAAATGAAAGAATGCCAGCAAAACTCTAGACTCTTTATAGAAGTTATCAGCGAATCTCCAAGCTTATCCCTAGGTAAGTATTTGTTTCAACTAACACACTAGGTTTAGAATATCGTTATTTTACATTCGACCTAACTTGTGATAAATTAGCAATTACTGTCACGGTATCTGCGCTAAAGCTATCACATTCGATTCATATATTTTGAGAAACAATCTGATCTCATAAAAATAAGGAATAAGTGATCATTTGATAGTCACCAATAAAGCTTGTGTTACTTTAAAGGAAAACAATTACTCCTACGTTGATGCTTAAATTTATAGACGACCTATGAGCAACGCTAAAATGACCTTAAAATATCCATCAATACACTAAAGTTAAATTAGGGTTATATTATAGTGTGGAGAATTAGAATTAGGATTTACAATTGAACGTTAGGGTTAGGAATTAGACTTAATGTTTTTATCACTAACTGACTTCAGCTATAATGTCAAAATGGTATTTAGCCAGATGAGTGAATAAATTTCGCGCCAAAATATAAGACCTATCTTAAATATGATTGGTTCGTCCACAAATTATAGTCTCGTCACTCCTACCAGTAACCCAAAATATTTTGAAAATTTTAATGATCTTTTATGCCTATTTTGTTTAACACTTACCTCATATATATATAATTTCTCTGAACTAACTTCAGGATTAATTCGATTTTGTAATGTTTCTGCAAGAGTCAAATTAATCTTGTTTAGTGTATTTAATTCATAATTTGTTAATTTCTCTGGCCATTGAAATTTCATTCGTAATTTAGTATTGGTTACCAAAAGTTGAACTGATGGAACTTTAGCCGATAAACGAAATTCAATTTCTACACTTTGAGCAAGTTTAACATTTGTTGCATGAAAACTAATTTAAAATAAATAATATACATTTTAAATAATGAAATTAATAATTTGATCTAATATGGAAGGCTTCGGTTATGTAAATAAGAATAGAACATACAAATAAATAATATTATATTGATTAAATTCTTCTAAAAACAATCTAAATTAACATATACACATATGTATCTATCATTGTGATGTGTGCTACTGATGTCGATAGAATATAAGCAATATGTAACACCAATCGAAAGTGGGATGCCTTGTGGCAGAAGGTTGAGAAAACCAAATAGAAGAAAACGAGAATATACAGTGATTGGTATAGAAACGAAGGAACAACAAATGAAGTATTTACTTTATGGTGTCCAGATTTTACTAAGATATTCTGTAATGTTCCATCAAAGTATATTTGATTGTTCCCCATATGTGTTCTCGTTCAATAGATCATAAGCAAACTAGACAACTTGTGGATCTGTGATATAGCAAATAAATAATTAAGGAAATATTGAATTTTCTTAAGTAGCTTCTATTTTGAAAGCTCCATTTTGGTGAAGATATAATTGCTGATGTCTCAAAAAACGAGAGAATATCAATTAGTATTTAATGGATTCTTCATACGTTCTATCAATGATTGTAGTTTTCTATTTGATAAAGTGGGATTTCTGAGAGAAATGTGGAATTTTACTTTTTATAAATTTAATCACTCAAGTGGAAATGGTATATCACGCGTAATAACAATCAACCATTAAAAAATATATTCAATCATCGAAGCACATATTTAAAATAAATCACATTATTGAAAATTAATTGACCGAAATGATTTGCGACTTAAAAATCTTTTGATAGTTAAAATTTTGTGTGAAAACACCGGTGGTTTATTCGTCAACGTAAATTACACACACCATACAATTCATTTAGGCTGACAAAATTTAATGTCTGCTAAATCTCTTGAATCATAAGAAAAGAAAGTTTAGAATTTATTTCACTTCCTTGAAATATGAAATACAACATCAGAACGGGTTTGTGTTAGTGCTTGTTCTTACCACAAAAAATTAAATAGTCAAATGTTCTGGTTTTATTACTCATCTTATGAGTCTCATAATTCTTGGTGGATTGTTAGCTGACAGAGTTTTAGTGAGGACATCAAGCTCTCATTAGGATTGCGGCGAATTGTGTTACCTATGACAAAAATATGTTTGTCTGTCCGTAGTTTGCTTCTTATTACTTTGTATTAATAAAACATGGTCTAGATGGGTAGAACATATGTATACGGTGCAAGTACTTTATCACAAGAATAGTTGGAACATTAATTCAGTAACTTAGATGTTACATGTTTACTGACAGTAAAAACAACAAATCGGTTGATGAGGAAGCTACACTGAATCGGTTAATGTGTATGTAGCATGTTATGCATGACCAGCTTCCCACTCGTCCAAATAACATTGTATCATTCCTAAACTAAATGATAGTTTGACCCGTCCCGATACGTGGGGACTGTTTGTTATCTCTACAGTAGTCTTTTTCCTTAGTTGGAGAATTTACGTGGAACTGAACAAGATTAACTTCAGGGAAATAGTTGTATCCATCTCTGATTCTAAATATTTATTGATTGTCATTTACTGAACTCATTTGTTCATTTTTAAGTATATTTATCATGTTGTGATAATACTTTACCGCATTTGTTTTTCATCTCAATAATTCCTTAAATCAATGTATTGGATTTAGAGTTCGGCAACTTGGACTGTTGGATATTCGTCAAAGGTCTTACGTTGACTATAAGTAATTAGATGATTCTTCAAAATCTAGCATATGACTAAATATCAAGTGTAGTAATATAACTTTAAATATATTACGTCATATGTTTCGTGCATCTATTTGGCACACGTCAGCAAGGTGTACCTGTAGTGTTGAGGGAACTGATGCTCCCCGACGGATTCGATTCCCTGTCACCCAGCCTTACAGTCAGAGATGTTACCGGGCCGCGGCGATTGCCTATGATCCATTGTGGGTCACAGGGGCAAGTAAGTGAGTAATATTACATCATATTTTAATCATGACTTCTAGTATCGATTGTCTTTAAATTAATTGATATTGATATAAGTTCATACATTCTCAAAATATAGTTTTTACTAATTTTCTACTTTTATTCTTCACAAATGTTTATTATTTTACACATACTTACAATTTAAATAAAAAAAATACAAATATCACTCTTAATTACTAAGCAACGAAATGATAAAACATTATAGTTTAATCTTTTGGATATTTACCACAAGAATATGAACATTAGTTTTACTGAAATCATCAATAAACTTTGAAATATAAAGATCATAATGTACTACTAAATCCAAATAACTGTTTTTTTTTGTAAATACTAATAATTTCAACACTTGTAATCTTACATGTATTTCCGTCTACAAGAATAATCTTTATTATTTTCCATTAAAAACTGACATAGTTTTTTTTGGTTAATACTTTTCATTGTATCTATAACAGGAACCGTATATCACATAGAAAGTATCACTGGTTGAAATCATGAATCAATTGAAGCTAGACCACCATAGAAAACCTGGAGGCACCGGACGGCCGTTTCGTCCTAGTATGGGACTCCTCTGGTTAGCGTTTTCTTAGCGAGTTAGTTTTCTACGGAATGTGGTCGCTAACCCCATCCTCAACCCTCCTCCTTTATCCGGTATTGGGATCGGCAGTAGCCCCCGGAGGGACTCGGATCCGTTGGCTGGACACTATTAGCAACAACCAACTGTGGGAAAGAAAAAACCAGATTACAGCGGAGGAAGAAATCAGGAAGAAGCGCAGGAAGTGGATAGGACATACATTGAGAAAAGCATCCAACTGCGTCGCAAGACAAGCCCTTACATAGAATCCTCAGGGCCAAAGGAAAAGAGGAAGACCAAAGAACACATTGCGCCGGGAAACGGAGATAGACATGAGAAAAGTGAACAAGAATTGGATGGAACTAGAAAAGAAGGCGGAGGACAGAGTAGGTTGAAGAATCCCGGTCGGCGGCCTATGCTCTATTAGGAGTAGCAGGCGTAAGTAAGTAAATAATGGGACTCCTCAGCAGTGCGCATCCACGATCCAGCACCCCGCGAGATTCGAACCCAGGACATATCAGTCTCGCGCTAGACACTTAACCAACTAGACCACTGAGCTGACCAGTATCCAACAGTGTTAATGTCTAACTTCAACCAATCCACATAGAAAATAATGTAAAAATCAATCACAAAAAATATTTGCCTCTTAACAATGTATAGAAGTAAAGAAATAATTTTTTTATTGAACCAATAACTTAATTAGTAATTTTCTTTATATTTCATGTATACGAATGATCTATTATTAATGTACATTACTGGTAACCATAGCATCTCAGTATACATAAACAATGAACGAAATATATTTTTTCTTCTTCTTCAACATTAATATTCTAATGAGAAGTAGAGTAAGAGAGAAATCATTTTTAAGTTTTCTTTTTCCTATTAGTAAACAAACATTATTCATCAATTTTGTTATTTATTAAAGTGTAATATTTTGCCTTTTCTTGACTATATAGGATAGACTTGGTTTTATACACTGGATAGAACACATTTTAGATGAGAATACGTTTTCATAGTTATTCGTTTATTCATAAAAAAGATCATTATTTTAAGTGAAAACAATATAAAAAGATACAGAATACGTTTTATTTCTGTGTTTAACCCTTAAAATTTCTAACATTCTAGTATATATTCATTTACGTTATTATCAATCTAGGGGTTGTGGAGATTGTTAAGTTTTTGATTGAGATCATGAACCGATTGATGTTAAACCACCGTTCAAAACGTGGAAGTACCGGTTGACCGTTTCGTCTTATTGTGATACTCCTCAGCACTGCTGAGGAGTGTCCACTAGTCATGAGCTTCGTGAGGGAATTATCGGAGTTCTGGTGAGAAGCCGTGATCAGTGGAGCTAATTCGTGTCGGTTAGAGATAGGTGTCTACCTCGGTACAATGGAAGATGGTCACGATATTTCGTGGATTGGTCGATGTTAGACATTATTACCATTAGATGGTGGGTCAGTGGTTCAGTAGGTTAAGCGTTCGCGCGCGAAACCGAAAGCCCTGGGTTTGAACTCCGCGAACGGAATCGTGGATGCGCACTGCTGAAGAGACCCACAATAAGACGAAACGGCCATCCAGTACTTGCAGGTTTTTAATGGTGGTCTAACATCAATCGGTTCATGATCTCAATCATTTACGTTATGTTAACAGAACTAATCTTTCAAAATCCTAGTAGATCTGCCACTCATACATCTTTGCCATTGAACTGGTTATGACAGTAAGATTTATTTATAAAAATACTTAAAGTTACAGAAAAAAACCTATGTAAACAATTACTTGCAGATAGAGAAACATCCAAAATAACAAGTAATTAAACGAAAAGATTATCAAGTTACTAAGGGAAGTACGAGGTAAAGGGAGTAACAAATACGGAAAGTAAAAAAATACTTTTGAACAAAAGTGATTGAAATTTAAATAGTTTCAAAGTCCTGCTCAGCATACTGATTAAAGCTTTTCTATGACACCAACCGAAATAAAAATTACCAAAGATAAATAAGGTTTATAAACAAGAATAAGTTAAAACCTTATTCAATTACATTTAAATGTTGATAGTAAAATAATGAGTGATTAGATGTAAAATATTGTTTTATCCCGGCGAGAATTATGAATGATAACTTTTGAGAACTATTTATGAATCAATACGTTACATATATTTTTGTTATATAATTATTAAATAGTTAAACTAAGCATATTCATGTTCCTGTTATTAAAAGCTTCATTTTCACTCATAGACAATTATTATACGATTTACCGTTCTTGAGTTATACTCGGTCTATGATATAAAGTCTCACATTTACAGCCACTTGTGGCTAGATCTTGTAAAGATATTATTTTCCATTTTATGGTACGATGTGGTCTGTTTAGTTTGCATATAAACTCTGTATGTTTGAGATACACGATTAATATCTCAGGGCAAGGCAGGAAGCAGGACCGATAAAGACTCTAGACTGCTCGTACGAGTTTATGCGTCATTGGTCCGGTCGATAATTCACTATTCTCTAATTGACGGTATCGTTACATTATATATTAATGGGGCACACTACCACAAGATATAACAAATATATTTACAATGTGCAGTGTGAATGAGTTTGTGTGAATCAGTATATTGTCGTTATTTAGAATTCATTGAATAAACGAAATCATTGGTAACGATCAAGAAAATAATTAATATTTGATAATTTTGATTTGGCATATTCCGACAAAGAGGTTCGGACCAGTTTGCTGGACAAAAAGTTGAAATAACTTGCATTTGCTTAAATACAACTTTGACATTTAATGTTATCTATAAACTTGGAGCCCAATTTCAAATTTTTATTAAAAAATGTTTATATAAAAAGTAAATATTTTAGATTTTCTAATGTGATTTTGCCAGTGAGCTAGCTCCCACGAAAAATTAGTGAACTAGTCTAATAATATGTATTTATTTAAAAGACACCATAGATCATAATTTTGTGTGTCTGGCAAGTGATTACAAGAGTAAAGCTGTTATCTGACATAGTATCAACGATGACTATTTATTCATTCAGTCATTGTAGTCTAAATTATAAAGAAGATTATCACGATGGGAATATGTGAAGATTTGAGTAATTTTAATAGTTGAATTCATCAATCGAACTAAGCAAGAACACCATTGAAAACCTATAAACACTGGATGATCACTTAATCCTAGTATAGAAGTCCTCAGTAGTGCAAATCCACGATTTCGAACACAGAACTCAAAATCAAAACCTTTGGCCTTATTCATGAACGCTTAATCTGAAAGAAAATCTCTTGAAGATAATATTTTTTCTGTTACATCTGAAGTACTATCAAACATGTTGAATAAACTTTACATTAAAAAACAACATGGATATTTATTCAACTGACATGATGGTTTTAATATTCTATTCAATATACTATTTACTTCAATTGAACATAGGATTTCTGAAATTTTACTGATTGAAGTCATGAGTAAATTGAAGCTAAACCACCATGGAAAACCTGGAAGCACTGGATGGCCGTTTCGTCCTAGTACGGGACTACTCAGCAGTGCGCCTCCACGATCCCGCACCCCGCGAGACTCGAACGCAGGACCTATCAATCTCGTGCCAGGCGCTTAACCAACTAGACCACTGAGCCGGCCGCCATCCAACGGTGTTAATGTCTACCTTCAACCAATCCACGAAGTTGCGCCACCGTACACCATTGACTTCAGTGAGTTGATATCTCACAACAGATCTAGTTGAACTCCACTGGTAAGGACTTCTTACTAGAACTTGAGAAGTATCTCTTGAAGTCAGTCACTAGTGAGCAGATGATTATTATCAGAAGGGGTTTTGTGCTTCCAGATTTTCCATGGTGGTCTAGCTTCAATTGACTCATGATTTCAATCAGTGAAATTTTTAAAATCTCCACAAAACCCCTTCTGATTTCAAAAATTATTTGATCATTCCTATTGATTATTACCATTATAAAGTAACAAAAATAGAATTTGTTACTGTTTCCACTTTATCTTTTTTTTCTGATGAAAGTTGTTTTTTTTTTCTTTTTATTTAATAGAAAATTAAAATTGTCTAATATATAGTTAACCAGGAAATTAGATTTATTTTAACTTACAAAAGTGTTATAATTTGTGATATTTTCAAATTGCTTATTACGCATACTTCTCCAGTTTGGACATTCCATGAAAATGGTGAATCACCTAGGGGATAGTTTTTTTTAAAAAAAAAAACGAAATAGGTTATTTAGAACAAATAATTATCATGTTTTACAAGTTGAATTCATAAAAGTTACAAATTAGACCATCAATTTCGTAATAACAGTTGTATATTTGAAAGGTATTTTTTATAAACTAACCAATTTTTAATGTAATCTAGATGTTTGAGATAAAGAAAGATCTCTTTTCAATGATATCATTTACTTAAATTGTGCAATCTTATCCATAGTTAAATCCATCTCTAGTAGTCTGTAATAAAATAGTAGGGGTTTATGAGTTATTATTATATGTGGTCGTCGCAATTGTTATATCTGGGCGTCGCTGATTGCTGTGCTGGAAAAATGCTGATCACTTATACTCAGAACAGGGACCTCTGCAATTCCCACGATGCGAAAGTAAGAACACAAAGACTGGTATAAGTGAAGATTTATTAGCTCCAAAACACGATGACGACGACGACGAATCAATATAGTTTAAAATACACTGGTTTATACATTGATTGTACACCCATTTTGATTAATAATTAGGATCAAATCACATACTCAGTTATAACAAATTACTTATTGAGCATAGTTCATGTCAACTGAATACAAGAATATCGTATATTATACAGAAGAAAATATCATACTGGGAAAACAAATCAAAGACTACACTGAAATGATCCTCATGTTGAATCAAAACGGATGTAATGTTGAATAAAACTCATAATGAGTAAATCAATCGAAACTTGACTTTTCTTTCCATCATATCAGCTATTTAACGAAGTTATATAAAGTAATCAAAATTTTCCAACGATCGAATATATTAGCCTATATTGATGCACTGAAACAGTCTCTCTAAAACTTTAAAGTAAATGTTTACATTTGGAACGACAGAAAATTTTTTAACTGACATAAATCTGTAAAATAAAATCTGGTTAATCAGATGATTTGAAAAAGTAGGTTTTGTAATTCACGAATTTGAACGTGGTCTCTACTTCCTTAGTATTATGTGGACGAGCTTTTACACAGTAGTTGATAGTTTTTCATATTAGTTAACTATCTAAATTTTGTGAATTCATTTATAAACTGAAAACAAAAACATACATCTATGTTTAACCACTAACTGAAACGTAACTCTAATAATAATTATTTACAGTTATAACAACATTGTAATTATATTGTAGTTCTGCTAGCAATTAAATGTCAAGTGATTACAATAAATCAATTAATTGTTTCAAAATACATTTTAAGAAACTATCAAGTTGAGTCAGATCAAATCGTGACAACAAAGATCTTCGTTGAACAATCGATTGAATGGGACTCGTCACTATAATCCACTTCCTTGATTATGCGAAAGTATTTGACAGTGTAAATAGGTGAAGTTTATGGAACCACCTTCGACATTATGGTGTACCTGATAAAATAGTCAACATGATCAGGAATTCATAAGACGAACTACAGTTTAAAGCTGTGCATGGAAGACAGGTGACAGATACATTTTAAGTAAGGATCTGAGACAAACAAGGCTTCTTACTCTTCCCCTTTCTATTTCTCCTGGTGGTTTGGTAGATTACGAAGACCACTACATCTGAGGGAAAGCACGGAATACAATAGACAGGTTGGATGCAACTAGACAATTTGAACATCGCAGATGACCTGGCTCTTCTATCCCATACACACGAACAAGTGCAGATGAAGAAAACAAGTGTAGTAGCAGCCTCTGCAGTAGTAGACTTTCACATACACAAGACAAAAACCAAGATCCTCAAATACAACATTGAGAACACCAAACGAGTCACACTTGTTGGAGAAACTCTGGAAGAGGTGAATTCTTTCACGTATCTGGGGTGCATCATCGTTGAACTAGGAGGATCGGATGCAGACGTTAGGGCGCGGATCGGCAAAGCAAGGACAGTATTCTTACAGTTGAAGAAAGTATGTAACTCAATACAACTGTCAACTAATACCAAAGTGAGAATCTTCAATACAAACGTCAAGACAGTTCTAATGTACGTACGGAGCTGTAACTTGGAAAACTACAGCAACAACCATCAAGAAAGTACAAGTATTTATAAACAGCTGTCTACGCACGATACTCAATATCCGTTGGCCGGATACCATCAGGAACAGCGTTCTGTGGAAGAGGACGAACCAACTTACAGCTGAGAGGAAATCAGGAAAATACGATAGTTGATAGGACATAGATTGAGGAACTCCTCAACTGCATCATGAAGCAAGCGCTAACTTGAAATCTTGAATGGAAGTGGAAAAATGAAAGGCCAAAGAACACACTATGTCTGGAATTAAAAGCACACATGAAATGGATGAATAAAAACTGGAAAGATCTGAAAAGGATTGCCAAGGACAGAGTTTGATGTAGAATGTTGGTGTACAGCCTATGTTCTTCGACGAGGGGTATCAGGCCTAAGTATGTAAGTAAGTAAGTATCACCTTGAGTATAGACAAAAAGTGTTTCCATTCGATGTTTGGTTTCAAATTGATAAAACACATAGAATTTTCTATAAATCCTAATGTTAAAAAATAATGAACAGATTATTGAGTACGGAAAAAAAACATTTTCAAATGTTCAATTTCAAATAAATGAAAAAATACAGTACGTTTTAATAGGCGAAATGTATTTCACGAGTTATAAAACTTATAATAAGGAAGTGATTTAGCAATATCTATTTAATACCTAATGATTATTTCCTTGATAGAGATTAACTTAATGATAGTGGGATCATTAAAATATTATGAAACTATCTTGATGTGTTTTATATTTGAAAATCAATTATCAATATAAATGAATCAAATATTCTGATTAATTATTTGTAAACTTTTAAATATATTTATGTCACACAACGTTTTCAAAACATTGAAATACTCCGAATACTGTAGTTTCAATATAGTGAGTTCTCATTATGAAAGAAGTAATATTCATTAACATGTAAGGTAGAATCGTAATACGTTTTATAAGTAACAAAACCTACACTAATAATAGGTTCAAAATAGCCTAAAAGGCGAGACCCTAATTTATGGACGACCTTTGAACGAATCTTAAGTGACCAATTAGCAAACAGTCTGTATAGAGTAAAATGATGTTATACAAAACCAAGGAAATAAAGTGGATACACTTCTTATACGTGGTTCAAAAACGTGTCGAGGTTAGAAAGAGGTTCAGAGGTTCTAAAATCGTAATGCATGCAGTAGAGGAAATCATCCATACGCCTACAAAATAGTCGGACTCTGGAGCCATGATAAAGTCTCAAATACTCTTTCAGCTTCGATCACATAGCTTCGATACTGTTTATGTGCATTCCGGCTGTTGAGTGCACAAAATGCTACTTGTGAATAATGACACGATGCTTATAACCAAGCCTACGTAGGAGCCTGTACGCTCTCCAAACATCCGTATATAATGTACTACCTGGCTGCAGCCAGGTTACTGGTGCTTTTATTATCCAGTTCGCAGTAATTGCCGTAATTTGCCTTCGTTAGGAATTATATATGGGGTTTTCACCAAGAACTGACATCAGCTATAATGCCAGAAATTTATTTAGCCAAATGGATGAAAGGCTTTCGCGCAAAAATCCGAGATCTATTATCTTATTATCTGATTGATTCGTCCACAAATTATAGTCTCGCTGTTTTATTTGTTATAGCCGCTCAATTATCACGTTTTGTACAAAATTCCCTGTGAACCGATCGTACGTTAGCATTAAGCACTGAAGTTGGCGCCGTAACCTTGAAATATCTAAAACGCCTCTGACTGCCTCGTCCATAAATTAGAGTCTCACCGCCTAAAGTGTCAAAATGATTTCTTTTTATCATATAATTCTGGTATTGTTTATTAGAAAAAAATACTGATATTAGTGGTAGTTTCTGTTAAAATATTCATGAAATACAGCAAGATCTTTTAAATCTCCCAGTAATTTTACTATTATTATGAAGAAATTAACGAATCTATTTCAGTTATGACGTCATTTATTTGAAGACATTATAGGCTATCAAGACTTTTACCTACGCAGCCTAATATAAAGTCAACATTTATTCTCAAGCCTTTGAGAAACTAAATAGCTTTTTAGTTGTAAGAGATAAATAGTTGCTTTACAAACATAACATTGATTATAAAAAGTATAAGTATTTATTTGTTAATAAACGTCTGTAGTTATGGAATTCACTTCTCACCATCTAAATAGAAAGTATTGCAACATGACTGGTGGTGACCTGTGCTTCTTTAGTCTAAGTTGTTAGAAGCAGTCGAAAAGCGTCTGTGTACTTGTTTGAGTATAGATGGTGGAGTGCCTGGTGAAATTAGTCTACACATAATGAAGACAAGAGCGGCCTTTGGTAATCTTTTTCATCTATAGAACCTTTGTGATGTTAGCCTGTCAGTCACTGAATACAGTTCTACTTCAGGATAGCGAAGCCAGACTTCTCCTAGTTGAAGATGTTCTATAACTATCTGTGTTTGACCATCATTGCCTCCAAAAGATGGTTGACACCGAGTTACATCACTATGTCAGTAATTCTTAATTTTGGCAATGTAATCGCATTCAGTGATGATAACTCATTTGGTTTCATCATTTTACAACACCAGACTTGCTCTACGAATTTTGTCTCAGGACTTTCACATCTTACCTTATTTGTCAACGCTGAGATTGGTATGGAAAAAGCGGAAAAGTATTCATTTTATCAATTCGCACTATAGTATGAAAGGTAGCTGTATGGGACTGAGATTTTTCAGTCCATCACGACTCCTGGTTGAGGTCCTAAAAACAGCGCAGCACAGTGACTTGCGATGTTGGTAGATGCGGCTTAGAGTAGAAGTCAATGTTAGTCTTGCTGTAGTTTTCCTTTTACATTCTCTAAAAATATGAATGATATTACTTTACCTAGATAAAATCATTTACAGTTGTATTGTTTATTGAACCGTATCTCCTATTACATACCATTATTGTTCATATATTTAATTGATTTCTCTTGAAATATATTTTATTTGAAGCGTTCTATTCCTGATCACAAGGTGTATCAGATTTTATATGCATTTAATAAATAAAAAATGATAGAAGATAAGTAAGGCATTTACTATTTGTGTCCGTACAATCCATTTGCACCAGCAAATAATACTGAATCATATTAGACTTATCAGTCATTATAATACAAGTAGGGTCAAACTAGTTAACTTTGCTACGAATTCTAATTGGTGCTAACTCATAACACCCTACTGATATCATCAAGTCTAATAAAAATAACAAATATGAATAAACTATGTTGGATTGTATGAAATCAATTGTACTCATTTTGTAGCCAATAATTGTTTGTAACAATATTAGTCAGTTAACTCCGCCTGGAGCCTTTATGGGGCTACTGCTGATCCCAAGCCCGGACAAAGAAGAAGGATTGGGGATGGGGTTAGCGACTCCATCTCGTAGTAAACTAACTCGCTAAAAAACGCTAGCCAGAAGAAAAATTATTATTCAATTAATAAAATGCATAAAATCTAAATACATTTTACTTACCTTTCACTTCCAAATCTAATTTATCAAATGAAAGAGTTTTAAGTTCTTTGAACCAATAAATAGGTATCTGGTAACACCAAAATACACCTTGAAAAGATTTTTTTTTAAATGTTGAAAATGAAATATTGTGTAATCAGAAAATAGAATTCCAGTTAAGAAGCAAACTTTTACAATAGTGTTTAAGTTAATATTTATATAAATTAGGAAGAAACATTAATTTTTGATAACTTAGTTTCATCAATAATGTTAATAACAAGTGACAGAATGATTACGGATATGACAACTAAAAAAGAGTAGATCAAGAGTTATACAGAAGTTGTACTTTATGTTTCGTTATTGTTCTCAACATTTGAGTGAGTTGATAAATGCTCTTCTCCACTTTGGAATAAGCCTAATTAATTGACAAATAGATTAATGGTATTACTATGATCTACTGACTAGATGATATTCAATGTTCGTTTGTCAAATTATCAGTTCTAATCACATTTCAGCCGACAATACCTACTTTGGTATGCAACACATTACTAGGTTTGACTTTGTTTAATGTAAATTAGTTTGAGATATGACTAAATAACATAGATTATAAAAGCTTTTTTACAGCATTAAATTAACTGTTGAGTTAACCAACGATTGAGAGTCTAATGTTTCAGTTAAATTTTAATTTAAAACACATTTTTATGAAATACAGAGTGAATCGCTTGATTGTTTGATAATCTGAACGTCTGTTCAATGAGAAATACCATACATAAAGTTTAGAAGAAAATAGATACCGACTTCACTGTGAATGATACCTATAGATGTATTAGAAAGCTAAAGAAATATCATACAATAGTTGTTTAGTTTTATTGATCATTAGATTGACATAGATATAAAATGCAATAAATTGATATTTTTCTCATTCTTTTTATTGTATGTATGATTCATAATGTAAATGGTAAATATTGAATATTATCAGAAGGGGTTTTGTGAAGATTTTAGTAATTTAATAGTTGGCACAACTTCCTGTATTGGTTGAAGTTATACATTAACACCTTCGAATGCCGAGTCAGTGATCTAGAGGTTAAGCGTTTTCGCGCGAAACCGATGGGTCCTGGGTTTGAATCCCGCGAGCGGGATCGTGGAGGCGCACCGTTGAGGAGTCCCACACTATGACAAAACGGCTGTTCAGTGCTTCCAGATTTTCCATGGCGATCAAGCTCCACTTGACTCATGAATTCAACTATGAAATATTGAACAATTTAGAACCAGCATTTTGATTAAAGTATCACATAGGCTGTATTTAGAGATATCGGAGGTGAATTAATATAGAAAATTGTTTAGAGTTAAAATCATCAGTGAAAGATAGAAAATTGAATATGAAAAAACTGAAATTTTATTTTGAATGGGAATGTATGTCAATCATAACTATTGTTTTCTATGTCATACAGAATCGTTTCTGTAAAGAAATACAATGAATATGTACATATATATTGATTGTATATTCTATTGCAGTGTCAATCATTATGGGGAGGAAATATGCTTTTAGGGATGATCAATACATGATTATTTCACAATAATAAAAAAGGTTGTTTTTCTCAATCTCTGGATAGTTCTTATATCTTTTCTTACGAAAAACGTTTGTATCTTAATCAAAGCAGAATATATCGTGATATAATAAATTAAAATTGTTTCATTTGTTTTAAACTATTCACACATTCTGAAAGTTAAGTTAAACTTTCACAAGCTAAGTTTGTGCTTTATTATACAGTGAGATTGTTGAGCTGTGAAGAGTAAAAACCATTACATCCCTACAAATTTAATGGTTGAGAATGGACTAAGAAGAGAATAGTTATTCCATAATCAACCTCTGATGAATATGAAAAAGATTATCTGTTCGACACAAGATCTGAGTAAACTGATTGAAACGTAAAAGTACATTATTATTCAAGAAACGATTACTCTTATGTTGGATAACATTGTGGAAATTCAAGTTTCAAAAATATAAAAACATGGATAGTGATATCAGTGATAACGAAGAAGGAAAGAAAAAGTCATTTAGTAGTGATATAACACTTCCTAGTAGAGTAAACACACAACTATGATTTCATTGAGTGAGGATCATGTTATATCATAAACTGATTTGGGTTCAAAATCTACGCCATATAAATAATCCAGTATTCTTCTTTAAAATACGTTTGGAACTTATTTCCCACAGACTTTCAGTAAATCTTAATTTCTCGAGGTTTTCTTAATAAGAATGTGTTTCGACAATTACATTTTTATCAATCGAGATGAAAAACTTAAGGGCGTTTCTACGTAATTTCCCGTATATAAATGAACTATTAATACCATTTGTTTTCTTGGTAAATTTTATGGGAAAATACTCTTATTATAGCTAATTTACCAGTGTTTAGAGATCTGGATTTTCTAATGTCGACACTATAATAAACCGTGATAAGTTATGAAAAGTCAAATATTCTGCGTCTCTTGAAATAAAACGAAACTATTCTCGAAAGTCTTGCTGTCCTTGCTTTGTTAAATATTCGCTGGTGAACCATACGTGTAACGTAATTAACCATCCAGCGTTTTTTTTCTTATTTGTCAATCTGGTTTGCAATTATGAAACGTGACGTATACGTGCTTGAGAGTTTTACACAAATTGAGGGGAAGTTTTAAACTAAGTTCGTCTATAATGTTTCTAAATTAAAAATGATTCTTAAATTTATTTTTGTGTAAATGAAAAATATCGAAAAATGGTTAACTAACCTGGAGGTATACGTAAAATAAAGTTCTTTCTGAAAGGTGATGGACGCTTCACAATTATTTGAAACGGTTCTAAAATGCAGAAAAATATGAAAGATAGTAAACAGGGTTTGGCTTACTAAACCTTATTTGAAATTCCAGTTTATCATTTCAGGCTTTTTATGTATAAGTGTATGACTCTATTTTCAAATGTTAGAAGTTAATCAAACGGCTTTATTCTCAAGAAAATCGTGACACAAGGACTTATAATAAATTTGGAAGTAATATACTCTTATAACCAAAGTAAATTAACCTAGACTTCACTAATTTGATAACTTTACTTTAAAAGGAACATTTTGTGGGTGCATTCTCTTAAGTTTATGAGAAAATCAATGGCTATGTAAAACTCCTCACACATAAGAAGTGATCATCTGTCAGATTACATGTTCCTATAAAGGGTTTGAAAAATTGTCTAGAACTACTTACAATATTCATTTCAGTAATTATTGAGAAAAATTGAAGAGTTAAATAGATCCAAATATTCTTTGATGTTGCATTGAAATCTTAAACCAAACTCAATTAGATCATCAATAAAAACCTTCAAGGACTAGATGGCCGTTTCTTTCTAACAAAGGTTTTCTCAACAATGCCCATCTATAACTCGGCACGAAGGACGTGAACATAAAACCTTCAATGTCTCATACAAAAGTTTAACCTGTAGACTAGCGAGTCAGGATCTAACAGTATCAATGCCTAACTCTCAATCAATCCACCATATTGCACGATCATTACTAAATGTTTTTTAATTCTTTACATCATTTTTTAAACACAAAATTTTTTCAGTTTATTAAAACATTTCAAATCCATTGTTGTTTGAACAAATTTTTATAAAATCTAAGGAAAATTATTTCAACTCAGTAAACAATTCCTTTGAAGGAAAAACCAAATTATTTTCTATGTTCAACAAAACAAAGCACAAAACAAAATACATGGATATGTTAACTAATCTGCTATGATAATTCATTAATATATCCAAATAACTAATATATTTTTCCCTTAAATCTTTATATTTATTTCAAAAACCAAAGCAAAACTATCTTCTTTTTTCGCTTCTTAGGTAAACATAAAAGTGTTAATAAGCCTAGGTGGGAATTTCAATACAAGAATAGTTATGAGTTTCTTTTTTTTTCTCTCGTTTCTTATTCATCTAAGCAAAAGCATTTCTATCATGCTATTTTAACTGACCCAGTTCAATTAGGTTAGTTATAAAAATGAAAATAATAATAATATAACCATCGTTACGATTGACAGAATTCTCTTTAACTCTTCTTTTATTATATAAAATTTATGGTCTATTCAGTATGATTATTAAATTATTCGCTTGAACACAACTTCATTAGTATTTTTCTTGTTATGATTTATTTTAAATTGGACTATAGATTGTGAAAATTTAAAAAAATTAGAGTAGAAATTTGCTTAAGGTAAAATGTGAATCAGAATAGGATTGTGTAGACTTGAATTTTTATTGAGATCATGAACCGATCAATGTTGGACCACTATGAAAAACCTTCAAGCACTGGAAGGCTGTTTCGTTCTGATTTGAGACTCCTTGGCGGCACGTATCCACGATGTCGTACTTAAGACTTGAACCCAGGAACTTCGGTTTCTTGTGAATACTTAACCTCCAGAGCACTGAGTTGGCATCCAACGGTGTTAATACCCGACTTCAACCAATCTTCAATTGCGGGATACGGGTGCATACTTCTGGGGAGTCCCAAATAAGGACGAAACGACTATCCAGTGCTTGAAGGTCTTTACTGGTGGTCTAACATTGACCAGTTTATGATTTCAATAGAAGGTGGCCAACATCCCTTCCTTATCTTATTTACTATGCTATTTCGTAGAAGTAAACGACAACTTATTTTATAAGAATTGCCTTAATGATTGAATCTACCTTGGCGGCCCGTGGATCTGACTCCTATTTAGATCGTATAAATGATTGTTATCGCCTTTTCTCGTATATCATCGTCGACCTAAATCACGTTAGTCAATAACGGAATTTAGATAAGTCAGTTAACGAGAACGGCCTTTGAATGCATATATTTTGTATGTAAAGTGAAAGTAATAGAACAGAGCAAAATGACGCGCATGGAGGATAGCTGGGAAACCAACTCCATTTTAGTCAAGCGTTACTCAATATTTATAGTCAGACAAAATAAAGATACAGACATGTGATTAATGGGATAAGAAGGGCACACACATATACGCCCATATAAAAACAGTCAAGACTAATAAGCGAATAATTGACAAGGTCAAAATATGACTCAAGTAGAATGAATAGAATGGTTTGTCCAAAAACTAGAATAAGATATATGGGCTTAAAATAATGACTGACACTACACTGCCACAAGATCAATATCAAATTATACTTCGTATTGTTGTATCGTAGTGTGATAGATGAATTACTTATGTTGAGTAAAGATTTTGGCAAATTAAAGTTTAATAGTCCTGTTGTATTTAGCAAAACACCTTATACTATTATTACATGTTTTTCTTATTACAGTACCAGAAAACTATAGATATATTCAGTTGATGAAATGACGATTTTGTAATTTTTATCTCACTGCTCGATAACTTTTAATTAGCAGACGTTAGGAAAAGAGAAATTGAACTAAACAGTCAGGTTTCATCACATTAGTGCTTACTGCGTTATCCTTCAATTTTCGTACATATGTATATATATTATAATGTTTAGAGATGGTGTCGATGATGTATAACTCAGCTGGGTAATTTTGGTGGAGCTTCGTTCTCTGGACTACATGGTATAGTTGTGGAGTTTATCATTGTTCTTGTAAACAATATCACCAACGTAAGCTTTAAATAGAAGTAAAGTATTCGAATTTCTTTACATATGACTAACAGCTTGTCCTGTACAAGATATTCCAATTTCAATGAAACTCTTTTGTAAAGTCTATTGATTTATGTGTATCATTGAAAATTATCGATTTTCTTTTAAATTGAAATACACCAAGACATGTTAGTTGAATCATCAACATTTTATAACCTTTTTTCATGCTGAAATCCTTGAATGTAGCGGAAAAACATAATTACCTAATCTTACAAACTTGCATTTCTGATTGTGATAATCAATAATTCGCGTTAAGTGAAATTTAGTATATTCATAGTTGAAAATTCTTAATTCATGAATACAAATACATTAACATGATAAAGTATTTAGATGTTTAAGATATACATTGACTGATTTATCTCCTTTATCAAAAACCATCTAATGATATAAATTTGATTTGTTTCCCTTTCATTGAATTTCGTTTTTCCTCTTTGATATTAGTTTGTCAACTGGATAACCTAAGCTACTAAACATTATTATATTCTTTCAAGTTGAATTACGTTTTGCTAACCTCTAAGTATTAATGTCTACCTGTTGTTTATTTTTTTCACTGACATAATATTCTGATTATTCCTATTTATATTGAAATATTACTTTTAATTACACTATGCTTTATGACTTATAGACAATCTGCTTTCATGTTAGTCGCTACACTTGTTCATGTAATTGTAACTATAGATATATCATGGTCTGTCATTGATTAAAGATATGACATTTTTATTGAAAGACATCAATAATGACCTATTTCAAGGGTGGTTTGTTGAACAACTTTCGAGAAGTCTGTAAATTAGGAAGTATATATGCCGTAAATTTACATACAAGCACACTTCGACTATTGTTAACTCACTCTAATTATTTTCGTATCATTTTATTCGAAACCTACAATTTATGTTTCATCAAAAACAAAATTAATTCATAAACAGTTGGATATTTCAGTGTAGTCTGTCTTATAGCGCATGAATAGTTTAATTTGTGTGTCAATTTCTTGTTTAGAAAAAAAAACAATCACAAATCTTAGTGATTTGTGGAGTATACGAAAAGTTTAGTACAGTTAAGATATAATTAATGATGACATTCTTTATGGTTGATGCACTTATTACATAACAATCAATGAATTAAGAATAATCTGACAATTATTCAACTTTAATTTTCATCAGTAAGTATGAAAAAAAGAGGACAGTAATCATTTTTTCACTTACCACAAGCTCTATTCTGATCCCTATCTGTTGCACATACAATAAATGTATGATTTCCAACATGGTCTGGTAATGGTTTGAGTCGTATAATTTGATTTTTGGATCAAACGATACCCACTTTTTTATATCACGTGTAATCTCTTCACCGATAGCCTGATTCAAGTTTTCCATAGACTTAAGTTCAATATATGAAATATTCTCGCGATTTGAAGCATATAATGTAAGTTTGAGGTTTTGTGTATAACCATCTTGAAGATCGTAGAATGTATTCTGTGGTATTTGGACATTAGATATTTGATACACTGTTGTTTTTATTGGTGTTATATAATTTTTAACTCTTGGTATATTCGAATGAATTAGATCAGAACTGGAATGGTCTAAAAATGAACGATAATCCATTTTTGAAAATTGTTGAAACGAAGCCATTCCTGAACCTTCTTCTAAATATCCAGCTTCACGTGACGACACTGCAGATCGTTTATTAAGAGATCGTTTTACATTTTCTTGTTTTGTCTGTGTTGCATCATCCAAAGAATTATGAATTAGATCACCAACAATCCATTCAGCCAACTAGTTAATCAAGGTATAATCATATCATAGAAGTAGTGAATAACACATTAGCTTAAAAACAGGTGAATAATGTTTATTAGATTAAACATAAAATATTTATTTATTAAGTGTCATAAGTTCATAAAACTTGAAGCCTGAGTTACTTAACATATAACAAATGTTTAAAAACGGACTAAAAATAAATGTCAGAAAGTAAACGGGATGTTTCGTTTTGTTCTGTCTAACAATAACGGATATTGTAAACATCATAGTAACTGAAAAAGTGGGTTCAAACGACTTTCTTTGCATATAAGATGCAGAATTACATTTCAAATGTACAACCTAATAAGGTGAATATCTTTGATTTTGTATTTCTTTCCGGGTTAGTGTTATACTCAATTGAAATATTGGTGCCTGAATTCGATAATATCCAAATTCTTAATGATCATAAAACATTACTCTACCAATATTTCGAGGTAATATAATACATTTAATCGGAAGCACACTCGAACAGATCACTGAGATTTATCTAAATGCTGAACCTTGTAATATTTTGGAAGAACTATATATACAAAAATCTGATAGTGTTGTTTGAAATATTATTGTCCGAAATCAACTCATTCTGATAATAATCATGTTCTCACTAGTGACTAGCTTCAAGATGGAACTCCCGGAGTCCTAGTATAAAGCAGTGACCAGTGGAGTCCGATATTTCCGGATGGAGACAGTTGTCTACCTCAGACAATGGATGTAGGGTTTCGCAAGATTATGGATTATGGAAGATAGAAATTAACATCGTGATGTGCCGGCTCAGTGGTCTAGAGGTTAGGTGTTTGCATGCGAGACCTAAGGTGATTTTTGTAGTGAAGAAAATGATTTAGATGTGTATACATAAATATCAAATTACCGGACTTTATATTATATTTTTATGATGCATTATGAATTAAATCGAAATTAAAGCAAAAACAGAACATTCTACTCATTAAAACAAGAGCTCAGTTAATGAAAGCTAGGAACGCTCTACAAGAAACGGTGCAAGGAGTTAGTGCAAAATCTTACTGTACATGACAAGAAGATTGATGTAACTTTACTACATAGTTGCATGCTTTTGATACATTATTTAATGTAATTTTGAATAGTTCGAGGGATATTTTAGGGTTATCTTTAGATTAAACTAGTCGATAAGTTATAGACAACATAGTATTTAGCACACAGCTGAATTGGTTGACACATCCATATCAGTATCAGCACAAATGGCAAGAAATGGAATCAAAGTGTCAAAATGCAATATAATCGATTATAATAAACATGTGGAACATATTTCGAAAATAATAAATTCAGTTGGAGAATAGGAATTTTGAACAAGTGCTCAAAATTTAATGTAAGATTTGAAACACTTGCACCACTGCTACTACTTTCGAAACGGTCAGCTGATATACATAACCAAATCCTGCAAACTCCAACCAAGATGCCTTAACATTTAATAACATCTCAAAGAATCAACGACTTTACAGTCAGATCCTCCTTATCTCTCAACCTACTTCTATTTTAGTCATTATAGAACATCAGAAGAGGGACAGATGAGGAATTATCTCACTTGAACTAACAATAATTTACAGGTATATAGGATACTATGTATATTATGGGGATTAAGTAAACACATTTTAGAAATATGAAATCAGTTGAATCTGTAGGGGCTGGTATCTATGTCAAGCCCATATAGATTATTCTAGCCTCTAGACAGATCAATATATTCATTCATCTCAGCCACATATTTTACACTTTATGTAAGTACATGTGTGTATATTTTTTGTCTTACTCATCACATGTCTGTAACTTATTTTCGCCTGACTATAAATATCGATTCACTCTTAACTAAAGTGAGTTGGCTCAAATGCCTTCTCCTATCTGTTTCGTTTCGCTCTCTTATTCGCTTCGTTTCTCTGGTCGTCTTGATCAACGATTGTATGAAATATACGCTTTCGAAATCCATTCTCGTATTTGACTTTTTTAATTCCCTTATTCACCAACGCGATTTAAGTTTATGATCATGTACATGGGATTACCGAAATGTATATTTCGATAACAATCAGTAAACAATCTACCTACTTAAAACCATTGTACAATACCATTGAATTATTTGATCGAAACTGAAAATTTCAAAGATGCTAAATAAATTACATTCATGTACAATCTTGTTTCATTCTGGATAATTTTAAAGTTTGGTCTTATTCTACTCATATAAACAAAACAATCTATCTAATTGAAATTTAGAATAAAAAGACATTGAGTGAATGAATTGATAAATTTAAAGTTTATCTATGTTAATTCCTTTATTTTGACTAAGTACTAAGTAATGACCATCATTTGGAAAGCTTGACATTAATAACTAATACTATTCTGATTGTTTAACTACACTACACCATATGGTGTTATCCATAGATTTCTCAACATTCAGTAAGTGTATGATGTTAATTATGTTTTAGGCATTTCCCGTTCATTTGAAGAAGAATGGTTGAGTACTTAATATAAAAATTTTATTTACACTAAATATTTCATTTCAAACATAGAAAACTATCAACACCTAACCTCTATAAACACTTAAGTGTAGTAAATCCCGTTGAATGTTATAAAAGAATCTGAAATAAAATCTTCATTAAATATTACACCATAATACGTTGGATTAACCTATTAAAAGAATGAAAGAATATGAGAATCTTTAGAACACTTCATATTTATTGAATATCACAAAAGGCTGTAAAACGAACTATGATCACGTTCATTCCTAGATCTATGACTACATTTTTTTTCCACTGAAATGAATGTCAATTATATGATAGATAAATTGTATCATAGTAAACAAACTAGTAAATTAATACATGACCTAGATTAATGATTTAATTTTATAATGAAAATAATCAATTAAAGAATTTAATCAATACAATTAATGAAAATTAATTATGTCTATTTATTTTCCTGATATGATCATTTCATTTTCGATCTGATATCTATTAATTTGACAAATTCATTCAATAGAATGATTGTTTGAATAATAATAATAATAATAATAATAATAATTGAATTTATGACCCTATTATTATATTGACAGATGATCACTAGAAAACATATTTTGGTTAATGAATGAATAAACAAGGATAAGAACGGGAAATATAGTTCAAGCCATTTCGATCTTATCCTCCTAGATAATGTTTATATGATACATTATTCTGTCAAGGATTATATCAGCTCAATGAAGATAATGGTATACGGTGGCGCAACTTAGTGGATTGGTTGAAGTTAGACATTAACACCATTGGATGCCGGTCAGCTCAGTGGTCTAGTTGGTTAAGCGCTTGGCGCGAGACTGGTAGGTCCTGAGTTCGAATCTCGCGGGGTACGGGATCGTGGATGCGCACTGCTGAGGAGTCCCATACTAGGACGGAACGGCCGTCCAGTGCTCCCAGGTTTTCCATGGTGGTCTAGCTCCAGTTGACTTATAATTTCAATCTGTGAAATTTTTAAAATTTTTGATTATTTATTTATTTAAACGCATAAACATTGGTACAAGGAGGCATCAAATAAATATGTGCCATATAAATCATTCGATTTGTGTGAGGGCTAGAATACTACCGGAGTGCACAAACCAAAACAGGTGGTTTTCTTAAAAGGCCACACCCGGAGCCTTCGACCTAAAATTTGATCCACAAGGCAATGGAGCGACGTCAGGTGATGCAGCCCCAAGGTAATCGGTGGCCAATAACTGGTTCATATGCCTTTTGTTCCTTCAGGATCCTAGAGCCTATGTGCACCGTTCGTTTGGAATCAGAGTATTCCAACTCCCCTAGGTGAATCTTCTGTATCCACCAACCCAGTTAAAGCGCCAGACATTCGCTTTTCATTCTATCAGTTTCGTAAACAGCACCCTCGCCACGAGAAGGTAGTGAGTAGGACTTCTTTGGCAGTAGTTGTATGTACGTGGCCATGTGAGAGCATTTCAAAAGAGAGAATTGACTCTCCCGATTCTCAGCCGTACCATGACATTTGGGGTTCAAGGATTATTTTAGAAAATAAACATTATGAAAATAGGAATTTCAACTATACCTAAATGATCAAAATGAGAGCAAATAATATTTATTAAACAAATCAATTCATTATAAATTAATATTTTAATCCGAAGAAGTTTTGTCATATGTCATGGGATGTAATCTAAGTATGCATGTCGAAACTATTTTCAATTGAACTATTGTTTAGTGTCACATAGTTGGCAGTTATTGATAAGTAACTGTAGAAGAAGGGATTTTGATGGTTTAAACCCCTTATTAAGAATTAAACATGCTTTTTGTGGTAATAATACCCTTTAAGGGATATAAATTAACATCACTCAATGTTGATGTCAAAAGCGCTACCACGATTGACTTTTAGTAACCGTGATAAGGTTATTACTAAGTGATCTTTAAGTCAGGGTTTACCCATTAATGCAATCTACCACTGAGAAGTAATCATTACCATGTTAGTTATTCCTTGATTTTGGTCTGATTAATTTCAAGGAGATGTAAAAATCTGAAAGGAATTATGAAAACTTAGTTAGTTAAAGTGATTGAAGTAGAAACGTTTTCTCAAATACTGATGTAAATAACAAGGCTCATAATAATAAAGCACGGACAAAAAGCATTCAAGATGCAACTTTCGGAGTTATAGTAAGAAGACGTGATCACTAGAGTTCAATTTTGTTGGATATGAGACAGCTGTCTATCACAGGGAAGTGATGAAGGTTGAGTAATACTGCGAACTGAATGTATTTAGGCACTAACTTGATTGGATGCCGGCTCATTGGAATAGAGTTCAAGGGTTCGTAGGCGAAACCGAATGTCCGAGGTTCACTGTCTGTGTATAGGATCGCAAATCAACCTTGCTCAATAGTTTCATACTAGGACGAAATGGTCGTCCAGTACTCCTAGGATTTTGATATTGATTTGGCTAAGATCAGCTCAAGAATTAAGAAATGAAAATTGTATAGTCTCCAGAGATCCCATGCCTTAAAAAAAATTCCAGCGTTAGTGCAATCGATTAAAATCTGATATGAGAGAATGAAGAACGTTTCAAAGAACGTGAGTGAGAAAACAATTGATGAATCATCGTATGAGTTATAAGTTAACCCGAAACTACTATCATTTTGACTAATACACGAGAGTTCATCATTTCACCATCTTTAATGTCTATTTTACCGTGAAATTAATTTTATCTCATTGAATGAGATTCTGTTTAGTGGCATACTTGACTGCTGATACTTTCTATAATTATATAATCATGGCGGAAAAAAGCCATAGAAAAGTGGAAAGAAATTTAGTGGCAAAACCAATTTTTCGGAAATTGATTAAATATTCAAAGTAGGAATATAAGCATTGTTATATCAATAGTTATAAGGATTGGTTTATTTTATTTCTTTATTGACATCATACAAGAAGACATAACTTATCAGTTGGTTTGCATCTTACTCAAACCACTTAGCCATTTCATAGTATTGAAGCATCTACGAAAAAGGTCTGAAGGAGTATTAAATTGATTCGAAAATTATCGAAGTTTCATTCGATTCCGTTTAAGCTCATTTATTCTTCTTTAAAGTCAAATTGAACGCCACTTATGGGTCAACATATCTTGAAATAGTTAAAAACATTCCCAGATCAGTTGCAATTTAGGTAGGAAATCTGAAACCTGGCATTAATTCTTTTGAAGAAGAACAGTGAAATACCACTGAATGTCAACCTAATTTCGTGAGTATTCTGTTTACAAATAAATCAGTTTAATGAATCCAAAGGTTATTTAACATTATGGTAGGACAGAAATGACATAGACGTTACTAGATATTTAAATACGAAACGAGTTGAAATTAGCTGATCAATTAAAAAGGAACAAATTATAAAGTTGTGCTTAATTTTTTTTCAGTATATCACTTGTGATATATGATAGGATAACATACTGGCATGAAGAGCTTTTCGATGACATAACTTTTGTTATCTAAGTTTTAACTAGAAATTTATTTTAGATAATTGTGCTAACGACTGGAACCAGAATATTTTTACACGATCAATACGATTGTAATCGACCAGCTAACTCTTCAATTATTATTGACAGATTCACTATTTCGGACAGATAAGATATATTTTGTTAAAATATTCTTATCAGTCATTTAATGACTTTAAATGTATAAATTCAAGACAGTTCTACTGTATGGGGTGGAAACTTCGAGAACTACGAAAGCCACCATCCAGAAGATACAGGTGTTTATTAACAGTTGTCTACGCCAAATACTTCGGATCCGTTGACCAGACACTATTAGCAACAACCAACTGTGGGAAAGAACAAACCAGATCCCAGAGGAGGAAGAAATCAGGAAGAAGCGCAGGAAGTGGATAGGACATACATTGAGAAAAGCACCCAACTGCATCACAAGACAAGTCCTCACATAGGATCCTCAAGGCCAAAGGAAAAGAGGAAGACTAAAGAACACATTATGCCGAGAAATGGAGACAGACATGAGAAAAATTAACGAGAATTGGATGGAACTAGAAAAGAAGGCGGAGGACAGAGTGGGTCGGATGATTCTGTTCGGTGGTCTATGCTCCATTAGGAGTAACAAGCGTAAGTAAGTAAGTAAGTAAGTAAATGTATAAATATCTGAAGAATGAATAAATGATTTGCAAATGTAATTCAATAATACTTCTTACCGTGATATTTTTAAACTTCTCAAAATGAGTAAAATTTGTATTATCCAATAGTGTCCAAATTGGTATCAATCCCATTTGAAATTTCTTCTCTAATACAGTTAATATTTTCAATATATGATCAGGTATAATACCACATCCAATATGTTGTATGCTAATTAGTTGGGAAAAATTTGATTTAGAATTTCTGATATAATTATGAGCTTTAGCGCTAGCCAATATGGATAATTTCCTAATAAGTGAAGAAAATAAGATGAAACACACAAAATAAGTTTCATAAATAATGAATACATTTTTAAGGCTTGACTTAAGATATTATACTTATCTGTGATTCGGTAACGCACACATACATTTTCGAACATCTTTTGTGTGTCAGGTAAGTGAATAATGAATAATAAAGTTTAGTTTTTACTGAGATCTTCAGTTCAAAACTCTAACTTTCACATGATTCACTTTTTTATCCATCAAGTTGGTTGAGAAACAGTGGCATGTTCACAGAAATGAAAACCCTAGTGATTTTTATGTTTTTAAATCCCGCATTTATCCACTAAATGAATGAATGAAGAAGTGTTCGGAAGTACTTGATGCTGCACACTTATTGATCAATTGAAAACGATTGTTTTTTATTGAGATCATGAACCGATTGATATTAGACCACCACCTTTGGAAACCTAGAAGCACTGGACGGCCGCTTCGTCCTATTGTGGGACTCCTCAGCAGAGCGCATCCACGACCCCGCACGCGGGGTTCGAGCCCAAAGCCTTCAGTCTCGCGCGCGAACGCTTAACCAACTGGAGTTTCCAGTTCATAATCTCCACAACCCCTGTACTAGTAATCAACATGTGTTCACTAGTGACTAGATTCGTGAGGGAATTCTTGGAGTTTTAGTGAGAAGCCTTGACCAGTGGAGCTAATCCATGTCGGGTAGAGACAGATATCTACCTCAGTACAACGGAAGTTGGTCGCGCAATTTCGTGGATTGGTTGACGTTAGACACTATCACCATTGGATGCCGGCTCAGTAGTTCAATAAGAGACTGATCAATCTCACTCCTAAATAACAATGGGAAAATACAAGTAAACAACATTAAGTGAATTTTATGGCAATTTTTTTACAAATAAAATGTTAAGTACTTTATCACTCTTATGAACCTCTCCTATAAACTCAAATAAAGATATAGACATTTTGTAGAACTGTACTTTACATGAAAGTAAACTAGTTTTGAACAGAAAAAACAAACAAATGAAAATTGTTTATGACACAAATATACAATATTATATTGAATATGTATGTTGTTCGTCATTAGTTTAACTATAATTTATCATTATATTTATATGTCAGAATGAAATTGTTTAATGATGATGAACTGAACGTCACATTCCTACATCATAAAATGAATTATTCTTATATTAATTAATGTAATAGTATTATATTTTATTCAGTAGTAATCTTCTTTTTGGGGTGTAAAAAAATAATTTAACACTGTACAAAATGACCAGTATTTTCAGTTATATTACTAAATGTAATTAATTCTTGAAAAGTATATGAATATATTTTTCATTTCAGTTTGTTTTGTTTCTATATTAGATTATTCATTACTGAATAAGACCCAGTTAGTAACATAGATTATACAATGACAGTATTGATTAAAAATTTATTTATTTATTTATGGATTTCTAAAAGAATAATATAAATTTGTTTATATTTCTAATCAACTCTTCAGAATATACTAACCGATATACTGGACATGAACATTTTAATGAATGAATTGTCAACTGAAATTGAGCATTTGTCATTGTTTCAGTTATGATTCGATTAATTAAAAGATTTGTTTGTTTGTTTGTTTGTTTTTTTAAGGAAAAATTGGATGCATTGAAATTTTTTTTCTTATAATAGAATTGATTTAATTGTTTACTTTACACTAAAAATAAAAATAAATTGTTTAGTTCATGATCAATGTATCCAATTGGTTCTGTAAAAACTAATCAATAAAGTACGGTCGTTTCGTCCTATTGTGAGGTTTCTCAACAGTGAGCATCCACGATCTCGCCCCCAGTGAGATTCGACCCAGGACCTACTGGTTTTGCGCGCGAGAACTTAACCACTAGACCACTGAGATGGCCGGCATCCAACGGTGTTAATGTCTAACTTCAACTAATCGACGAAATTGAGCGACACATCCACCACTGTCTTCAGTGAGTTACTATCTCGCAACAGACCGGGTTGAGCTCCGTTGGTCACTGCTTCTCACTAGAAATCCAGGATATACCTCGTGAAGCCAGTCACTAGTGAGCATACGTACCAATTTTATTAAACGGAATCATAATAATTTTTCTCATGTTATGCTGATAACACTGAGGTTTGAAATCAACATTTTAATTTCTTGGTTAAATAGTTTTGAATAAAAAAAGTTGATACTGTTTGTAATATCATTTTGTATAACTGCTTGTCTGATTAATTCACATTTACATCAAGAATTACTTACAAATATTGGCGAGATTATAATTTATGGATGAACCAATCAGATTTAGGGTAACAGGTCTTGGATTTTGGAACGAAATTCATTCATCCATTTGACTAAATAGCCCTATGGCATTTTGGTTGATGTCAATTGGTGTTGAAAATCCTAAATCTAATTCCTAACCTTAACCATCAACTACAAAATCATGATTCGAATTCCTCATACTGGTCTATAACTTTCATTTATTCCTAGTTACTAGACGGAACTTCTGAAGGTTACCTTAGTATCACTTAAAGGTCATTTATAAATTCTAGTTTCACCAATGTAAATTTCTAAATCAGCATAAAGTAACAATTAGTGGATGTGAACCAAATAAACTGACAACATACCGAATTATATATTATGAAAATGAATTATTTTTAATATCTAAATAGTAAATAAATGGATTAAATAATTTTTTTATAAATTGATTTGTTGTTGAGTGTTGCTTAAGGTCAATTCAGTGGCCACATATATCTAATTACCTTTTAGTAGGGTTCACTTATTTTGTTGTGTTAACAAAAAAAAATGAAACAATCGATAGTTAAAATAGATATTTATAACCCTTTATAATGCTTAATCACAATCATTTTATGATCACAATAAGACTCCTCTAGTATAAATACACAAACTGTGTTTTTCAACATGAAATCTCAATATACGCATATACCTTTTTTGACAATGTTTAAATGATTTTAGATAAATTGTAACTGCGCACTTTCATTTGATGCTCATTGTTTCTGATACGTTTCTAAACTCTTGAAGAAGAGTAATTATCAGTTGATGTCATCAATATTATTGATTATAATCTGTTACTAAGTTGAACGTCTTAAATCTACAAACATAAGAGTCTTAGATATTTTTAGCAATCAAGTCAACCATCATTGAAATCTTTACGCATTTATCCTTAATCATGAAATCTTATTAGCTAAACAAATTCTTACAGTGTTATATACAATACGTGTTTCTAAAACCTAATATGTGGCATTTATCCATGCCTCTTTTTTTATCGGTGACAAGGAGGTTGCTAAGCTAAGATTTTGGTAAGTAAAATTTGGATGATTTTTCACAAGATGGATTTAATTTAAACTGTAGAGGATAAAAATGAAGGTTCTAATTGTTCAGCTAAAGAACATCCTTGATGATCTAGGCTACAAGTGTCAGTTACATATCACATTTTTCCATGATCTTAACTATAATTTTATATTCCCTACTTCTTATTTGAGCTTTAATCAGGTACTCAATTTTTATTTTCTAATTTAATTATTATGTAAAATGTGAAACTAATCCCTCATTTCTACAAACCCTTCTTCTGAAATCGCCGCACTTTTTTCTTCCAGAATATTCATATATTTAACTCATAAATAGACAATTATTCGAGCAAACTTTTCAATTCTTCCATGACTGCTGTCCTTCATTAGATAAACATCTACATATCAAATCCAGTTCCAATGAAGACTCTTCTCACATATAATATATAAACGTTTCCTTAACAGTTAATATTATTCTTTCCGTGTCGTAAGCAACTAAAGAGAATCTGTGAAATAACTGCGCTTACACTATACTCCAATAATAACTGTTGCATCTTTTTAAAAGAACAGATCGTTTGAAGATGTGCTTCCTTTTAAGAAATATTAAAATGGATATATTATCCAGCAATGAATGTTTATTGAAAAAAAAAACATTATTTAGATAAATATGTGCGGAAATACGTACATAGGAAGGAGCAGTCGTGATCTACAATTAAGGGTGGGTGAACACATACCAAAATGGATGCAGAAACAAATAAATTCCAATGGTGGAATAAGATCATAGGATAGACAGAAGTCTGCGTCCATTGTGCAACATTTGATTGGAACTGGTCATAAGGTTGACATCAAGTCATCACTTGTTGTGTTGTATAAAAGCCTTCAAAGATCTATAGTAAGGTTTATTGAAGCCTTGGCTATACAGAAACTGAAACCCCCTTTATTCGTTCAAAAACATTTTGTTCTTACTCTTAACCTACCCTGGTAATATTGATTTATTGTGTACTTTATTTCTTTCTTTGTTACGGCTTACCTATAACCTGTCTAGTTGACATTTTAATTTTCATATAAAAAAATGTCTTAACAAGTATATGTGTGTGGTCAGATTGTTCAAAATGTATTGCGAAAATATATCACATAATTCTGATAAATTTCATCTTCTCATTACATTATCGAAATACCTATATATTATTATCTGCAAACAAGTTTATGCTATTTATTTAAAAGATTATTTATGTCAACTTCACATACTGTTTGTTTCGTTTCGGAACGTTCGTTTCCTATAACCTAGTGTATAACTACCGCCTTAAATGTATAGTTAATTCTTATAAAAGAAATCTATATTATTATTAATATTGTCCAGTTGAATAGTCTAAATCAAAAGATGAGTACAGAAAATGTTAAAACTTAAACTAATGAATAATGTGAAACATTTATTTCTTCACTTTTACCTTTTCTTATCATAAATTTCCATGTGAATTTCTTATTGTCCATACAGCTGTTAGACAAAGCTAATCGATTTACTCAAATATTAATCATAACAGTATTAAGAATAATAATAATAATGATAAATGGAAAAAGTTATTTTGGCCGACACCTAATTTTTTTTCTGATATACAGTTACTGTAACAGCTTATTAATATAAAAGTAGTATTAGTGTTACCGGTAACTTAGTATAGTGATATTCATAAGTAACTGACATGA